CCTTGCACTACACTTTCACAAAACACGTGTGCTCTGGTCGGCTGCCGGCTAGGAACTGATAAATGCCAGGGAACTACTCCTGAAGTGTTCTTAACTTAGAACATGGTCCTCTCTGTGACATATTCCACATGGAGGAAGCACACTTACGGCGACAGTGCAGACGAGTGACAGAAATAGAGAAAAAGTTACTTTGGGCACAGAGGACCTCTCTGCTTTGGGTACTATCTTTCTATATTGGAGAGAAAGAGAGAGATATACAGGGTAGGAAAGTACCGATGGTCTATCAGAAGTTACGTGAGAGCGATAAAATAAACCATAGAAATCCATGCAATAGAGAAGGATGGCTATAATGAAGGCTTCTCTTTGTCACCGCCCGATTCGCCCTTCCACAAATAAGATCCACTTCTTATTTGTGGAAGGGCGAAATGGGCGTTGACTATTAGACGCCTTCATTATAGCCATCCCTGTCTATCACATGGATTTCTATGGCTTACTTTATCGCTCTCACGTAACTTCTGATAGACCATCGGTACTTTCCTACACTGTATAGTGTACCCAAATTAAACTTTAACAAGCCGTTCTTCCTCCATGCTCTAATGTTCTTGAAGTGGTTTTTAGGTACATTCTTTGCCAATTGGAATGGAGCTATTTACACGGTTCAGACGCTAAAGAGGAGAGAAGACACTTCGGGAGCAGTAGGGAACTCCCCTGAAGCGAAAAGTGACAGAGAAAGAGAGAGTTAGTTTTAGTACAATCTTTCTCTCTCACGCTGGCACGTGATTGGCTAACGCGGCTCCTTCAATGATTAGAGTGAGAGGGTGTGTACAAACTGTCGCCCTTTCTCTCTAAAGCGTCTACACAGTTTTATATTTTGGAGGCCCTTGTCGTATAATCTGAACGAGCGAACTTCAGAATTCGACTATCTTTCGAATCCAAGTTCCAACGCCCGGAGCAGCGCTCCAATACAAGCCCTCTATGTAAAACCTGAAGCTATAACAAACATATTCCACAATGTTTCCAATCCCGAGCCCAAAGCCGCTGTTAGAGGAGAAAGTAAAACTTTCACCTATGTTTCCAATCCATACCTCAAAATTCAGCACCAAGCTCCAAGCCCGATTTCAAGCATAAGAAATCGAAGGCAAAGCATTAAATTGCATAATGTTTCTAACTCTGAAGCCGAAGCCGCTGTCAGAGGAAAAAGTAAAACTTTCACCCATGTTTCCAATCCAAACCTCAAAATCCAGCACAGAGCTCCAAGCCCGATTTCCAACATAGGAAATCGAAGGCAAAGCATTAACTTACGCAATGTTTCTAATCCTGAAGCCGAAGTCGCTGTCAGGACGGAAAGTAAGATTTTCACCCAAGTTTCCAATCCGAATCCAAGAATCCCGGACAACGTCCTAAGTCCGATATCCAGTAACACAAACCAAGTCCTAAGCCATAATTTACACAAAGCTTCCATTCGCCAAGCCGATATCAATACCAGAGCGAAGACGGAAGAAATCGACAAGGTTTCGAATCCGGCTACTATCCAGCCGCCTCGAACCAAGAAGCAGCAGTATCCAAGGAAAACAAACAAAAACACCTATGTTTCAGATTTCCAGCATCGCAGAGCCGCAGTTGAGCCAAGCAAGCCAAATAACGAAAATCACCGATGTTTCCAATCCACCTGCGAGAAGCCGCAAATCATCAAAAATGCGCCCTCTGGTGATGGAGACGAGTTAGGCCACATCGAGGACGACCGATGCGAAGCCGACAACGCGCCAGCAGCCACCTTCCAGGGAGTCAAGAATTCGACCCACTTTCCAATGGTCCCCGGCCTTGCAGGGAAGCACCGGTCAAGAAGAGGGAGAAAATTCGTAGAAAAAACCCGGGAATCAACCGCGGATCAAGGCCGCGAATCACCTACCGAGATGGACCGTCAACTGCAGGCATTTGCAGTTATTTAACCGGATCGACGTATCCGGCCAGTCTCTGTGTGGGACGCTCCAAATTTTAGTTGCGACAGTAAAGCCTCTACAGTCATTATTACAGCCTTTCGCACACATTTAACCTATTGTTAGAGTCAGATTTATGTTAATAAATATATATATATAACCTAACCTACCTCTTATCTATAAAAGAAAGGTAAAACGTCGCCCGGGCATTTATTTCTGACCCGCGGCAGACCCAAATCACGGGCCATTAGCCAGCCCTATCATAAAGTGTTAGATATAAGCTCTAGTGAAGTGCATCAAACCGCCCCTATAGTTATCAGAACTATATGAGCGTAGTGTTTACCTCTAGATATATATAATTATAAGAATTATATATACAAACTACCTAATCAACGGCTCTCATAGCCGCCTAAGCTCAAATATCAGAGATAGCGGGACGTATTGGCGCTTAAAGTCACTTTTCACCTATCTTTCCAATACCGATCCTATATCTCATATCATTCTTATCCAAATTCCCTTTGTTAGAGTCAAACCTCTCTTACATCCTATCTAAGGGAACGACAAGTTGTTACAAATTAGATCGCGTCCTCTCACCTAGCCATGCCTAAGCGCAATATTACCAGGTTAGCTACATCTCGAGCAGAGTCCAGCGCGACAGCGCGAGAAGCATATAACATGTCCAGAAACCCTGAGAGCCGCAACCTAATGGTAAGTGCAACACGGGATGATGAGGTACGACGACACCCTTTTAGAATTGACAAAAATAGTAACTAAAATAGCAGCTTACTGATGCTGTTTTTGTCAAAACGAAAGATCTCCATATTGGCTTCTTGCGTTCCAATAAAGTTAGAGCATTTTACTTTTAAAGTGTTCTTGTTTTTTTATGTCCCTCATCCATCACTCTACCATTTACAAAAGAGTTTAAGATATTTGAATATGATTCTAAAGATTATTTACGCTGTAGATTACTTCGTTGCGATAGTTATGTGTACAGTCACATTTGATTATACAACTCACAAACGACTGATATAAAATTGTCTCTAGATTTGTGCAATAACACCAGAAAGCTTAAACTACTGCCTCGTAATTAACGCGTATTAGTGATTCATAAATAAAGCCATCCATCGAAATTTAAACCTATAGACAACCTAAGGCCATAGAATTTATAAGCTATGCCAACCCAAGGCCAACGCAACTTTCTTCGTTTCTTCTTAATTTAAATAATAATATTAATACAAATATGAAATTTAGGATAAAACACCATTTTACAAAATGAATCTCCTTAAGTTCTTCCTATTTATTCTACATCCATGGTTTTAAGAACACAAACACAAACCCGAAAAAATCTAGAATTATTGTGAGCACAAAACAAATTTACAGTAAACGGACATGCGTGGTTCGACAGGAGGAGTTTAATGATGATTTCTTAGCAAATCGACCACGTCTTTGGAGAAGTGTAGAGCATTGTTTGGTTGTTGAACATTTACCGTTTTGCACGTAATATTGTATTCTTTTTTTTTGTTACATTGAAAGATCAAAGCAAAATGAGTGTTGAAGAAGATGTTATGCGAATACAGAAGAAATTAAATAAAATGACGTCAGAAGACGGAAGTGTACGTTAAATTTTATAAATAACGTCCAGTACATTTATTTATATGCATGATAATCTCTATTTAGGGCTAATTTTTTTTAACTCGAATTTTATGCGACATCGTATGAATTTAACATGTTTAATTTGTTATATTACATTTACTTTGATATTTTTATATGGAAATATTTATATGCTGTAAGCGGGAAATTTGAAATTCGCAATGTTTTAGGGTCAGGAACAAGCACTCGATTTGCTTAAGGAACTGCAAACCCTCAACATTAATTTGGAAGTATTGACAAAAACGCGAATTGGTATGACTGTAAACGCTTTAAGAAAATCTAGCAAAGACGACGAGGTTATTAGTTTATCCAAAACACTAATAAAAAACTGGAAAAAGTTTCTTTCTGGGTTAAATTCAAATAGTGAAAAGTCAAGCAGTACATCAAAACCAAAAAAAGAAAAAGAGGATAAAGCTTCCAGAGAGGACAAAGATAGAGAACGGGAGAAGAATTTGCCAAAACAATTTCCTGCAAATTCAAATACAACAGACTCTGTTAGGCTTAAATGTAGAGAAATGCTGGCAGGTGCTATCAAAACTGACTCCAAACCTGAGGACTTTGAAGGTATGTATGCCTTACTATTTGCATATCAGTTTTCGTCAGTCTTAACAACTTGAATATAATGAACACTTATGTTATCTACTCAATTCAATACAAAAACAACTAATATTTTGATACCACATATCATTTTTGAAAACTTGGTGAACATTCCAAAATAAAACTGCTTTAAAAATAATGCATTTGACCAACTAGATGTTGAATATTTCTTATGCATTTTTTTTAATTTGTTCCATTTATCAGAAACGATGTTTCAAAAGCAAGATTTTATTCAAATAATCAAGTCTGTTAGAAACTTATATTGAAAACATGTTTTTAATTAATAACGTTTAAAGTGTTAAACAATTTTTTAGGTTGTGCCTCGGCTGAGGAATTGGCGGAAGAATTGGAGGAAGCAATTTTCTCCGAGTTCAAAAACACCGATATGCGTTACAAAAACAGGGTCCGTTCTAGAATAGCCAACCTTAAAGACATTAAAAACCCTACCCTACGAACACATTTCCGCATAGGAGCTATAACAGCTGGTAGATTAGCCGTTATGACTGCAGAAGAGATGGCGAACGATGAGGTAAAACAGCTGAGAGAGAAATTCTTGAAAGAATCCATTAATGATGCTCAGCTTGCTACTGCACAAGGTACCAAAACGGACATGCTTAAATGCGGAAAATGTAAGAAGAGGAATTGTACTTACAACCAGCTACAGACGAGGTCGTCCGATGAACCTATGACTACTTTTGTTCTGTGCAACGAGTGTGGTAATAGATGGAAGTTTTGTTGATTTTTTTAGTAAGGTTATATTAACTTTTATTTAATTATCTAGGGTAAGTACTTTCTTTAATGTCTTATCTTTGGCACCATTATGATAACTGTGTTACATAGACTATTGAAACAATAAATAAAGCCTATAAATTTTGAGCAAAACACTGGTTTTATTTACTGTAATAAGTTGTATTCCTCCTGTTTTTCAAGATTATTACAGAAATGATACGATACAATCGACCCTTATCATAAAGGCGGCAAGATGTGTAATTCCTAAGACAGGCATAACTTGTTAAAAAGTGACAAAGTTTGTCCATAAGTGAATTAAAATCGCTAAAAAATAGATCCCATGTTGTTTTCTTTTACTGTTATGGATAGTCAACAAATCGTAAGAATCGCCGAGACTTTGTTTATACAGGGTGTAACTTCGTATGGGTGTCATATTTATGTGGGGTTTGCCTTTGGTCTTTAGAAACACGTTTGTTTTTCCAAATTCTGTAATGAAAAATTATCCTTTTTTTATTTCATGATTTTCATAGTCTCAATTCCATTGTATAGTCTTTCCGATATCAATTGAAGAACTAAGAGGTTGACAGTATGTGCCAGGTTCGGTCACTCACGCAGCAACTTGGCATTGAAATATTTGAAAAACTTGTTCTAATATGTATTTAACCATATACAGGTCTGGTCGAACTACACGTGGAGGTGGTAGAAATGTATATGCCCAGTTGAAAAATGCGAGCGCGGGCAAACAAAACCTAACACAACTGCATTGGGCTACTGGGCAATAAATCTCAGCTTTTGACAAGTGGTTGACAAATTGCTCAGCAGTGCAGTGCAGCAATGCGGAATTTGGTGTGATTTAGGCAATTTTAATTTTTTTTAGGCACCTTCTATTAACCATTTATATTACAACTGCGAAAGGGAGAAATAATGTTATTACAACATGGCATTTTGGAGACCTTTTGAAATGGAACAAAACAAAATTTAGCATCTATATAATGAAATTGTTTGAGGACATAAATAATTAAAATATGTTGATGGTCAAATAAACATATAATAGAAATTTTGTACACATTATATACAAATTATTATAATTTTTTACCTTTACCAGAAAATTTTTTAGGGACACATATAAAAATCATTAAATTTGATTGCTAGGTTTTTTATACATGTTCAATTGACTTCGGAAAGACTATAACACCAAACGACATGAGTTACAACATACACTTTTCAAATTTTATCTTTTTTTATTTATATACGTTCTTTTCGTTGAACACAAGTTCAACATAAAGGCATACACACCAACACCGGAAAACTAATACTTAACACAGAAAAACATAAAATTATCTGCAGTATGAATGAAATGACCTACTCAGACGTGTTTCACTAAATTAATGTTGACCATTTGTTTTTTTGTCCGCCTAGGGCGCTGTTGTTCTTTTGCATCAGGTGGATTAATATTATGTAGTTCACCTAAACTATATCAATGTCTGAGGTCATTGATACATATTCACAAACTACACACACACAGAAAAACCAAAAATGATTTAAGAAAATATTTCGAATCTATCAGATTAGGAAGTATTTTTATCGTTTATTTTAGAAACGGCAAGAATAATTATTTTAAATCGTAAATTAGTTTTACTTATAATTAGTACCGTTTTCACATGCCAGTATTAGTAAATATTTAACAAACCTTTGAAAATTTTCTAAATGTCAGTTCTTCATCGTCAATAAGGTCAAATATGACGACTTTAAAATAACATGTTGCAAAGTCATACAAAAGTAATTGTGTAAACAAAATTATTTTCTGTTGCAGTTTCACTTTCTACTACTGTTAGTTTCGGACATTGGTTTAAAAAATAATAGCAGCTAATACTGATTAAGTGCCAACATACAATTGAGTTCGGATGTTGCCAGTACAAGTTTTTAAGTGCAGTTTAAAAAAATAAAAACTTTATTCGATTAAAAAAGGATTTAAATTTTGTAAAAAATTATAAGTTTAGAACAGTTTAGAGTGATCCAGTGAACATTAATTTTATTTACCAGGAATTTTGAGGGATTTATTTGTAATTTCGAGGTTTTATTGCAAAAATTTGTGTACAATATTATTATTCAAAATATTGTCCTTCGTTAGCCACTATTTTTTTCTGTTTTTCTAGCAGCGTACGGATTCCACGTCAAGAGAACAACTCATCTTTTGATGCTATCTACCAATTGATCCAAGTTTCATTGTCATATTGAAAAATTACTTTATCGTGCCTTTGCTCCAATTGCAGCCATTTTTCCATCAATGCACAACTCAAACGCATCAATTGTGTTGGGTATAGTTCACTGTGGTGGTTTCATTCCGAAGAGGCATCTCTTAGTATACAACACCAAGCTGGTCCCACCAAATACAGAGCATGAGTTGGGAACCATGAATATTCAACCGTGTCATCGATGCTGATGCATGACCAGGCAAACCCCACCACTTTCTATGCTTAGGATTATCATAGCATATCTATTTGTCATCGCTAGTGACGATACAATACAAAAAACCCTTTTTTTGCCATTGAAGCAACTGTTCACACGTGAAAAATCACCATTCAACATCTCTAGGCTTCAAGTGGTATGGCACCCAATTCCCTTACTTTTAAATCATACAGAGTGCATTTAAATGTTTGGAAACTGTTGTGGGATCAACATTCAGCAAGTTTATCTTGCGTTTGACATGGATTTTGGTCTAGTAAATGCTTCCAATTCCTCATCTTTGAATTTTTTCCGTTTCATGACATTCTTTGTTAACTGTATCGAAATCATTTCTAAAACGTCGAAAGCAATACTAACATATTTTTATCATTTCACTGTAAGTTTTCAACAGCACTCGATGACTTTTAGCAGCACTTTTCTTTGAATTAGACAGGAAAAAAAAACTTCCCGGAAATGGTGTTTTGTTAGCTAGTAATTTGCCATCTTCGGAGCTGAGAAAAAAGTTGTTTACAGTTCAGCAAAATGACATACTAATAAGTAAAGCGTAATGGCAGAACTTTGACATGAATATAGTTACAGAAGTGTCCGATGCGATATAGCATAAGTTACGCCATCTATCGTAAATCCCTCAAAATTAATTCACAGTCCTATTAATGACATAGTTTAAGAAGTAATATTTTGTAGTCTTAGAATTTGTGATCGCCCACTGGAGAAAATAATGATTTCAGATTAACAGCAAGAAAAGACTCAAACGCGAGGCAACAATCTATCAATCTTTATTTTAATTATTTTAGAAATATAAATACAATATTACCATAATTTAATAGTTCACAGAAACCTAACATTACATACCTAATTCAACCGTAACAGTTGGCAGGAATTATGCGATAATAAAAAAAAAGTCACATAAAAATTACAAAAACCAACTAGAGTTGTAATTGAATAAGCACCTATAAATTCTTGTTAAGTTAAAACTGCGCAATATGTACCCAATGTACAACATTTTTGAATGTATAACTAAAACGGAAAGGTAGGTTTAAAAATCGATATGTCTAGTTGATTTTTGCCATACTAAAGAAGTAGCGGTAAAAAAATTATGACAAGTACTGATAGGTTAAAATTGTTAATGTCCGGGTATAGGCTTTAATTCCTTTATTTGCCTAATTAGGTATGCCTTCTCGTCATTGAATTGTTCGTCCTCGGCTCTGTCTGTATGAAATCTCATTAAAAATTCAACAAGTTTTTCTTGGTTCCGCAACAAAATGTCGAGGATTGGTTTCGGTTTATTTGGATTGGCAACAAACACCTAAAAATTGTAAAAGCCCTAGTAAACATCCATTAATATCAAACATTAATAATCCTTCAAGATTTTATTTAAAAAAAAAAACAGACCAAGCCAATTCAAAGAAAAAAAAAACAAATCGTTGCATTCCAGGTGAATTTTCTAAATATTATTTATCTCTTCTCTTTATTTTGATAACAGATATTGATAAGCACATGAATTATATGCTTGTAAAATTGTTTAAGGACTCACCAAAGAAAATTAATATGTATTTAAATATAATTCATATACAGGGTGTCCCACGGTGACAAGATATTTCAGACTACTTCGATTTTAATTTTGAAAATTTGGGCATATAATGTTTTCCGGCATGCCCTTCTCAACTAAAATAATGGCGTCCACCTAACGCCTCCGGTTATACCGGAAGCGGACGTCATTTTCGTAATTTTAAATGGAACACCCTGTATATTATTGCAATTTTGGATTCTACGTCAACTTTTAGGTTCATAAAGGTTTCCTATTCTTAAAGTTTCTGATACATTTAATTTTTTTTTAAATAATAAAAAATGCACTGCCTAATTCTAAAATATGTGTATTTTACAATAATAAAGTTATAGCGATAAAATTTATAGGGGACATAACTAAAGCTTCCCTGCCATAATTTCAAAATGACTTAATTTTCATACAAGATGATAGAAATTTAATGCTGAATTTAGTAAACTTTAAACCATCTTAACTTATTTTTTTTTAAATTGAACACTATATTTTTGCGCAACCTGATGAACAATTTTGTTCTCTTTCGAAAGGTATAATGGTTCCCTATACCTATCTCTTCTAGTTTTTTAAGGTATTTACTGTTTTTCGTGCAGTCAACGAATATCACAATTTCTAGCAAGAAATTTTTAGTGGAACTTCAAAACAAGCACCTAATCTGTCACCAGTTTATTGTTGTCAATTTAACACAAACAGTGAATGTTTATACAATTATTATTTATTGTTAAAGAATGGAAAAGGTTAACATTTAAATATTAAAATGCCGACATTCTAAATTTATTATTTATTCATGGAGAGAGAACAAAATTGTTCATCAGGTTGTGCAAATATATACAGGGTGTTCATTAAAAAAAATAAGTTAAGATGGTTTTAAGTTGACTAAATTCGGCAATAAATTTTTACCACCCTGTATGAAATTATGGCAGGGAAGCTTAGAGTTTTAGTTATGTCCCCTATAAATTTTATCGCTCTTACTCGATTATTGTATAACACATCTTTTTGAATTAGGCAGTACTTTTTAATTTTTTTTTGAAAACATTAAATATATCGAAAACGGTAAACTTTAAGAATAAGAAACCTTTATGAAAGTTCACCTAAAAATTGACGTAGAATCCAAAATTGTAATAATATACAGGGTGTTCCATTTAAAATAATGAAGATGACGTAAGCTTCCGGTATAACTGGAAGCTTTAGGTGGACGCCATTATTTTAGTTGAGAAGGGCATGCCCGAATTTTCTAAATTAAAATCGAAGTAGTTTCCGAAATATGTCTAGCCTCGTCACCGTGAGACAGCCTGTATACCCATATACTTAGTACTCATCAATTGGTATATTATAGTAATATAATTACCTTGAAAACATGGAAGGCTTCAAATTGAATATTCCTGGAACTTTCTTTCAACATATTCATCATAAGCTTTAAATTTTCAGGATTTGAAATGTACCTTGTCATTACCTAAAAAATAAAGTTTCATAAAAAAAATTACTCTTATTTTTATATTTTTTTAATTGATGAAGTTGGTCATGTATAGTTTCTATAAATGCACAATTTTATTATTGAAAACAAAACATGAGAAGTAATACTGAATAAATATTATTGCATGAACTGTTTAAACACATTTCTGTAATTATCCTAAAATTTGTGCATTAAAAAACTTATCATAGATTGGGATTTAAAGAACACTTATCTCAGGATAAGGCTTAGTACATAATCATCATTAATTGATAAAACAGATATCAGCTAAACTAAACTTCAATATTTACCGTAAAGTTGTGTCTGTCCAGCAGCAATTCTCCAAGTAATTTCAAACTCTGACGCCTAGTCACATAATTCTCTGAATTTAAAAGCCGCTGATAATGGTTAAATACTTTATCATAATTCATCTCTAGGAAATCTGCACATAAAATTTTATGTCTAGTCAATAATTCCTACAAATTAAAAAAATAAATGGTCTAATTAATTACAGTGCTAGGCACAAACATACCTTAAAAGTAGAAAATGCATCAGAAGCTATATCAAAAGAAGATACCTCCACATACCGAAAAAAGTTGTAAAAATCATCTGAATACAACATAATTTTTGCCAAAGCTTCATACTTCGCACATTCACGTAACATGGTACCACAATTTAAAGCTATTTCTTGATGTTCATAACTGCAACACAAATATAATTATGATTAACTAACAAAAACTAACAAATAACTAACCCAGTCATAAGCGTAAACAAAATTTCAGGCTTGGTACAAATATATTCTACAGTAGGAGATCTAGTACCGATCTGCCTTCTTAAAATGTTATTAAAAACTTGTGCCACATCCTTTTTCCCTTCAAAGTCAATTCGATTAAGGTTTTGAATTAATAATAGAAGTAAATTACTATTGTACAGTTCTTGAGCTAACTGTGCCACTATAATATCAGTTTGAGGTTCAGCATCCGAAGTGCCATAAAGCATATTCTTAATTAAAACCAAATTTTTTGAAACGTCTTCTTGCGCTTTTTCAGCCTTTTTGTCGCCCTTTTCAAGAGAGTTGACAGCCTCCTTCAAAGCCTTTACTACTTCTGCAGGTCCTTTTTGTGACTTTCCAAATAGGGGCATTTTCAAGTAGTTGAATAATTTCTTGTAATAAAGAGTTTTCCAATAACGTGACGTTTTTATTTCAGCGAAGTGGATGGGTAATATTCAAAACAGATTCCAGAGTTAGATGTCGGGCTTCATAGATATTGTACTGCGGAACAACAAAACACCACGTCTCTCATCACAAATCAATTATTTTGTTGTACAGCAACAATTACGGCAGTAAAAATGCATCTGACAGCACCACACTTCCTTTTTTATATACACAACTTTCTGAAGTTCGGTTCGGAACAGTGGCACAGTGGTGAGAGTTTAGAATTTCTAGTAGTTTTGACAGACACAAAATGGCAACTCAAGAAAAATTCATCCCTCACTAAAATGTCTAGTAACTTTTGTAAATGCAGAAATTTTTGTTTTATTATTTTTGCTTTGGCAGTTCTGCAATTTTCACATCGATAAAAGAAAAAATTAATTTAGCAGCAAGTACTAGTGCCCTCTAGTGGATTTCACTTAATACACAAATCTAGATAAATAATCTTATGTACGTTGTCGTCCTAGATAAATAAAATACAAGCTGTGTTCAGCGAATGGTTGTTGACTATTTACCCGACGTGACCGACAAACACAAAAGACCTAGACACCAACTTTTTGACCCTGGGTGACCACCCCAACGACATCCTCCCTCCTGCCCGCTAACCTTTTCTGTTTCAGAGACAGCCAGGAATGCCAGGATCATGAAATGAAGACAACGATATACACACATACACACCCCCCCATACCCTATTTACCCCTCCTCTCCCGCACTAGTCTAAGGGCCACCTTAGTAAAGCGCATCCCAGGCTGCATAGCCGCACTACCCTACCCAACCATACCACACATAAACATGACACCAACTTCGGGGTTTACACAGACGAGCCGGCGAAGCAAGAAGAGCGCCAGAAGAAAGGGCCCTAGCCGGCGGGGCTCAGCCAGGACAAAAGGAGGTCCCACAAAGTGCCTACACCGGCTGCATTTGCGGTCGGGGTAAACGACGGATGGGGCCCACCTACGAAGGCTGTCCAGACCTACACTTGATGAGGCAGGATAAAGAGGGATAATCCCCCTCGATCCCAAATCATTAAACAAAAAAAAAGCGAATGGTCGGACTAGTTTGGTCAAACTTCTTTATATTATTAAGCTGTGCTTCTTTAGTCAAACCACAGAATAAAACCTCTATTATGGGGTCAAACCTTAGAGCATGTACTACTGGAGGCAACGTCTCAGTGGCCGAGAGCATCATCTAGTGCTATACACCTACCAAAGCGTTTCCGTATTAAAGCATACACAATAAGCCCTTTTATTTTACTCATGATTTCGGAATCGTAACGTGTGAGGATCCGATGGAAACCAATCAGATTGCTAGATTACGGATCGTAACGCGCTATGATTCGGAAATCATGAGTAAAAGATAAAGAAAACAGTTAAGGCCGGGACACAATGGAAAAATATAAAATAAAAATATTAAATATTAAATATAAGAGAAGACACACAATGGGAAAATAAGATAATAAATAAGAAATATTTTACGACACGTCGGAATTTATTATTTATATCTTATATTTGACCAATCAAATTAATGTATCATTTCCATACCGCCTCTCCAACTAACGTATAAATAAATTGTTTTTGTTTTGTTGTCGAGTTTAATGTCTGTAAAATGGTAATCAAAAAGAAATAACAATTATTAATGTCTTGCTTTCCACGTTATTTCAATTATGTCTGACAAAGCTGTGCCGAAGAATACTACTCATTTGTCAAATTGTTATAATCTATCATCAAATTATTATCATTGTGTCAAACATTTATATTTAATATGTTATATATTATATCTTATATTTAATATTTTCCATTGTGTCCCTGCCTTTAATCTGTGGCACAGACCTGATAAAAGTGAGAGAAAGAGTAGCTCCAGCTCCTCCTAATCACAGCCATAGCAAAACAAATAAATAAACGCTGTGGCGTGGCCACAGTGTCTCAAATACAGCCTATTATGCTTTGTAAATAAAAACAAATTCAAATTAAAAAATTTTAACTCAAAGGCAGTTGCAAATTTTCCTAATATTGAAAAGGTATTATTTTTAAATATAATACCAAGTAACGTTTTATTTATTTAGCACATCAAAAATTCCAATAAGGCACACTGCAGGTGACCTGCTCTAAAAAATAAAGGAAAATTCTTACGATCTAGATTTATTTTTAGTAACTAATAAAACTTTTAAACAAATCTTTTTGCTTCCAGGAAAATTAAAAAACAGAAATAAACCCCCTAAATTAATTTTAAAAATCATCTGAAATAACCCAGAACATAAAATTTAGATTAAAGCAAAGTTTAAACTTGTTACAGTATACATATGGAAAAAGAACACTGATTTTATGGAAATTGCAAATTTTAATTTTGTATACAACTTATACAATGAGCACAAAAAAATATAAAAAAAGCTTCACAATATTAAGTACTATACATTATTTTTTAATTTATATTAACACTATCAAATTTAAAAAATCAATAAATAAATTTGGAATGTATGTAGAAAACGTAAAAAAACAAAACTCAAATCAAATATAACTTTTAGTCTTATGTATCACGATTCGTTAAGCACAAAAATATATAAATGTTTTAACAAATTGACATTGCATTCATTGATATTGCATTCATGTAAATTTGGTTCTTAGCAGTAAATAAATATCACTAATGCAAAAATTAAAGGCATGGGCCTGAGTAGTTTCAGTGAAGTAACCTTTGGTAAAAAATATTCGAAACAGCTAAAATTAAATTGTTATTCCGATGGAGTGAGATCCTTTTCAGTTTCACCTTCATTTAATAGTTGCAACAGCAACTCATGAACAGGTTCGAAAGCCTTTTTACTACCAGCATTTGTTAATAATAAGTAATCATGCATATCATGGTGACTAATCGTTCCGTCAGGTTGTATAAACCCTTTATCAATTGCTACCAATTCTACTTTTGGTAGGCCTTCTAAATTTAATTTGAGGAGCTCATTCACTTGTGATATTTTGTCCCTTACTGAATTTGGATGTTGGCCTCTAGGCAAAAGGGTCTGAAAAGTTGAATTTAAATCATTAGCAATATGTTGTTAGATTAGATTATTACTTACTGGTACAACTAAATATACATCTGGATGTTTTTCTCTAATAAGATTTATTATCTCTATTATACCATCTTTAATTTCTTCTGGGGTGTTAGTATGATTGTTTGTACCTACATGTACAACTATTACCTATAAGAAAAACAGTTTAGCAATAACTGCAATATAATAATGTTAACAATACATTTTTCACATACTCTAGGCTTTATATTGTCAAGTTCTCCATTCTGAATTCTCCATAACACATTTTCAATTTTATCTCTATGTATACCAAAGTTTAGACAATGTAGGGGTGCAAATAATTCATTCCAAACATCAGTATGCTGAAGAGCTTGAACTATTGAATCGCCTATAAAAATAACGTCCGCATCTTTTTCTCTAGTCTCGGAAAGAAAGCGGTTGTGCTAAAATTTTTTTTGTTTATATAATATCTATTGTTGCTTATATTGAACTTACAATGCTAATCCATCTATGGTCTCCATCGCCATCATCTACAGGGACTGGTATTTTGCAAGTATTCATTGTGTTAATATATGTATAAAAAAAACTTTTAAATTAGAAAAATTGATAATATTTGAGCTATTATATACGAAATGACATTCTTGACAAATCAAATGAGCAAATGAAGCGTAAATCTGCTCCCTGAATTATCGACAATATTGACACATGGAGCAGAAGATAATTAAGTTTTGTGACACAAAACAAGATTATACAACATAACATGAATAAAATCCCCTGTAAGTTGATTTCGTCGATGTTTATACAACATACATAGATGATAGATGGTTAAATTGAATTCTATAAATAACTTCGGAATAGTAATTTGATTGTCAAAGTGTGTTTTTATTTGGAGAATGATAAAAGAGTGGCAGAAAAACCTTCTGAAATAATTTAAAATCAGCAACTCAAACAAGATCTACAGTACCTACAGAAATTGATTTACGAAAAATCCCTAAAATAAACACTGTGAAAAAATGGTGGAAAGCTAGTGTATTTTGTAGGTTCATGAATTTGTGATTATTAATACTTGTGTTTTCGTATAGACTAAGTTAATAGTATCGAACATTTCAAGATTTTCTTATCAATAATGTAAGTGTATCCAGGACTCGGTTTTCTTATGTTCTCATGATTATCCGGCTTTACCTAACCAAATATCTTCATAATGGATAATTTGCGGGGTATTCTTGAATATATTAGAAACTTTTTTGGTCATCCTTCCGTGGAACTCCAACGAAAGAGAAGGTATATATTTTCTGTTATGGTTATTTTAGGTATGTCATTATTTTTTAATTTTAGAGCTCCAGATCCCTTAGATCATTTTTTAAGCCCAAAGTGTAGAAGAGTGCATATCTCAATGGCTGATAGGATAGATAGTAAGATTATAATGATTTTAGTAATACACGTAAAAAAATTAATATAATTTTTTTTAGATGATTGGTTAACAAGTAGGAATTCTATTCGAAGACGTACCTTATTGAAACCATCACCAAGATTATCCCCAAAACAGAATCGTCACACTGACACTGTAGTTTTAGATGATGATGACGATGACGTAATTGAAATTAAAAAACCAGATATAGATATATTTCAAGGCAGATCTAAACACAATAAATATACATCCACTCCTGAAAATTACTCTCAAAAATGTACAAATGGAATTGATGATGATGATATTACATTCGTTAAAGAAATAAAATCTCCCAAAGAAAAAATGAATGAGGCATCCAAAAGGGGATTAAATTATATAAAACCTTTCACAGGACGTTATTTAAATATAGGTTCGATACAAAACGAAAAATCGAAGGAAAGAACACTTTTCAATAATATAAATAAAAGATCCAGTCCCTCACGTCCTTTTGTAGGATCTTCTAGTTTAGATTATTCTTATAGATTGGATGACAAGCTACAATATAAAAAACTCTTGGAGAGCGCCGGAGTCTCTGGAACTACAAATGATTCTTCCATTTACCAGACCCCTGTTGGCCGACTGTTTAATTATGATACTTCCAACAGAAGTGGCAAAATAATGAACATGTTAAAAAAACCATCCACTGGATTGAGTAATAGTTTAAATGGTACGAAAGATCGTATGTCCACAAAGGACAGAATAATTAAAGTTTTAGATGATTTTGAATCCATAGAGGTGAAAGATTCAGACACTGATTCGGATGTAATCATTGTAAATCCACCATCTCCTAAGCCTGACATTAAAGTGGAACCTGTGAATAGTTTTAAAAAGGTAGTTGATACTTCACAGCAAACCAAGAGTGGATGGTTGGATGAACTGTAAGTACCATTTTCAAAATAGTTTTTGTTATATATTTTATTTTTCTTATTCCATAATAGTTAATCTGACTTCTTCAAGAACAAGTTAAGCAGAAATTAAAAATCATTTAGATATTTATAGCCCAATGCAAAGATTTTGCTGAAAAAAATTTTTTGTAATATTTTATGCAAATTTTTTTTTGTAGGACAGTGTTATTTATTGGTAAACAATATCTAAGTATTAGGAATAATATTAATCTGTGCACGTCGGGCATATAAGTATAAAAGTTAAAGAGCAACAAAAGCAGAATCTAAAATAAAAGAACTTTCTCAAAAAACCATTCTCGGTATATGGGTATAAAAAATTATAAGGCTTCCAAATGTAAAAATTTGATATCGAAATAATGTAAATTGCATGCACAAATAAAAAGTTATTTTTTGTCGTAGTCTCAACTACATAAGCCTGAGCATTGAACACCAGAAAATGAGTTGGTCTTTTAGAGATCAGAGAAAAATAAAAGTAAATCACTCCCATGTATCATGCTCCTATGTACTGGCATGCGTAAAAATACATAATGAGTGCTCTAGAGTACATAACTGGTACATCCAAAAGAAGCTTATAGTCCATCAGGGAGTTGTGATGGTTTTTAAAAGACTGAACGAATTTCAATTTTAATTTTTTCCAAAAACACAATGACGTCAAAAATATACAAACAAAGAATGAAAGAAATATAATTCAGGTTCAAAAGATGACACAATGCAAATGGCGACTGCTCTGGTCAAACATTCTTTGAATTTAATGACAAAGTTGTAAATCACTTGAATTTCTCAGGTTATACGTTAGATTAGGCAAATGTAGACCTTTAGCTTTTGGGTAGCAAAATTCAGTGAACTGAACTGTATCATATCCGCACTGCGTAATTATTATAGAACGACCAGTTTTAGTAAATGAACCACAAATAAACATGCAATGTTTGAACGTTCATGAATATTCAAATGGCATCTAACGAAAAATATATTTCAACTGTTTCAAAACTGTTATGCCCTTCACTGCCATTGATATTCCATTTCAAAAACATCACACCTTCCTGCTGGACCTTGCATTTAGTTCTGGGTTTTTCAAAGTTACTATTTGCGGCACTAATATTGCTCACAAAAAACATCACAAGTGTCTACTTGCAATGAATATCAATTAGCAATTATTTAATGCTGGTGAAAACATGGCGAGATAGTATTAATTTGTAATATGAATAAAAAACATTAATTTAGAGTCCCACTAGATCATATGGAATTTAGAGAAACTTTTACCACTATTCACATTCTGAAGCATAATTAGTGCATATTGCTGCTTGTATTTTCAGTTTCAAATCCTGTTGGAAAAATGCCTTCATATGCAGTTCGACCTGACTTTCCTGTTTTAGTACTAATCAGAAAGCGTAAACTACAGTTCTGTGATATGAACCCTAGTAGACAAATTTGAGTAACTGTCAGACATTAGATTTTATAGGTTGTAATGAAATTTTGACATTTTTAATTTATATTTGAATTTTTTGTACATTTTACAAAATGGGAAATGTTTTGAGTCTTATATATTCATCTGATTCAAATTTAATGTATGAATTTAAAATTTCCTTACTTTCTATGTAACATTAAATATTTTTTTAGAGTGGAACGACACAGACTTTTTGTAGAACAGAGGCAGAAGGAAATCGATCAACTACGAGAATGTTCAGAAAAGCATGGGAAAATAAATAATGATTTGAGATGGGAAATATTGACAGATAAAGTGAATAGGTCCCTGTCTATAAGAGATGCTGTCTTACCAGTAGAAGAAAAAGAGGAAGAAGTAGAACTTCCACTACTAACAGAAGCACAATTAAAATTAGTGGAGCACGCCTACAGAGGAGATCCCAACGAAATCCTTGCTAGAAAGTTTAACCTAAATGTATCACGTAGAGATTTACAAACTTTAGCGGGTCTAAATTGGTTGAATGACGAAGTGATAAATTTCTATATGAACTTAATTATCGAGAGAGGGAAAGACTCAAAGTGGCCTAAATCATATGCTTTTAACACATTTTTCTATACAAAATTATTGAAGGATGGACCTCAGTCTTTAAGGAGGTGGACAAAGAGAGTGGATATATTTGAGCATGATATTATTTGTGTGCCGATACATCTCGGAATGCATTGGTGTATGGCTATAATAAATTTAAAAGACCGTTCGATACGGTATTATGACAGCATGGGCAGTAGTAACAATAAATGTTTAGAGGCCCTTCGGAGATATCTAGAAGCAGAACATCTGGACAAGAAGAAGACTGGATTAGATACAAGTGATTTTATTTTAGAGAACATAAAAGATATTCCACAACAAATGAACGGGAGTGACTGTGGAATGTTTGCTTGTACTTTTGCAGAGTTCCTCACCAGGAGCGCCAAGATTACGTTTAGTCAAGAACATATGCCATACTTAAGGAAAAAAATGGTTGTTGAAATTATATCAGGAGAGCTCTTAATAAAATGACTTGTTTTAACTCAGTTGTGGTAATTTTATTTTTGTAATTATCCAAGTATTTTATTAAATTTATCTTTTGTAACTGCTTTGAATAATCAACTCGAAATTGGTACATTTTAGGATACGTCGGTTGGTTGAACTGAGTGAATAATTTATTCGATTCTGTTTGTATTTTATGCCCTACATTAGTTCTCTTAGATATATTTAGTGCAACCAAGATGTTAGTGTATAAGCAACAATGTTAATTTAAGGAATTAGATATCTAACTGTATGTGTTGGAGGTATGTCAATACAATCAAATATCGTAACGTAACATTTCACTTCTTCAGGATTACTGAAATGTTGAATCTTAGCAGTATTCATAAATATGTCCTCATGCCGTTGATACTTTATTATTAATAAACAGTTCTGATTTTTATATCTACGTTTATTTTTTGGATCCTTTTATTTCATTTGAACGGGAAATATTTAAATGCCGTGTACAGCAAAAGTTCTTTTAACGTTAAATCTGACACAAATGAACTGAAACAAGTGTAACATGAAAATTAAGTTTATAATTTTTTCCATTGGTATGAAATCCTTCTGCGTTTCCTAGATCGCTTAATTTTAGAAAATGGTAATGTGCCTCGGCTACCTGCTTCCTGTGGGGTTATATTAGATTTTTGTTGATATAGCTTAAATTTTACAAGATCCAAAAATAAATATCAAAAAAACTAATGGAAATCAGCGTGAAGAGAACATATTTTTATTTTAACCATAGTGGCTCACATTTACGACATAAAAAACGGCAAATTTCTTTTCATATTAATGTTCCTTTCATTTCGCACGTAGGTCGCAGGCCATCTTTAGCGTTAAAGGAACTTTTATTACATCCTGTATAACTTGATAATTAAAATTACATCATTAAACAAATTTTCTCCATTTCTCAACAGATATCTTAAACATAAAAATTGTCGATTTAACTTATTCACTAAAATCTAAAAATACCGAAAATTGTTTACCTCGATAAAAAAAATGAAATTCATTTTCTATTAGTTTACATATTTTATTGCAAATATAAAAATAACAATAAATAAATATGATTAATCACCACTACTTTCTTCTGATAATCCTGCATCTTCCTTTGGTACCGTTATTTTCTTTCCGCGTTTTGGAACATAACCTAGTCCCTTTTTGGATTTTCTAAACACCTCCATAGCTTTTAGTTTGTTCTTCAACGAATCGCTTTTATCTCTTAGTCTCTGGTGAATAATCTCTTTTTTATGAACATGCGGTAAACATTGTTTCTTCACTTGTTCTACTTCATTTCTAACTTCTCGATCAATTTCCTCTACCCTTTTCAATGATCTTGAAGTGGTAGCTTTTAACAATTGAATTTCTTCATCTTCTTCGAGAACTTGGGGTATAACCTCGGTAGGTGCAGTTTTTGTAGGTGGAGGCTTAGTTTTTTTCTTAAACCAGGTGTCATTTTTCTTAGACATCTCATTTCTCTTTTGTCTTCGTTGTTTCAGTTCAATGGCTATATTTTCATATTTCTTTAAATCAACAGAGTTCTCGTCAACTTCTTTTGTTTGTTGCGAAGTTTCTGCTGGAGCTACTATTATCTTTTCCAGATCATTTTCTATTACTTTCTCGGATTTAGATTTTTTCTGATCTGGCTCTTCTGTTTCTGTACCTACACTATTAACATTTTCTCCACTTGTCTGTTTACTGTTTATTGTACGAGTATTTTCACTCTTCTTTCGTCTTGTCCTCTTTGGTTTCTCTTTATGTTCCACTTCTTTGTTAATAGTTTTTTCATTATTTCTTTTGTTTCTCGACCTTTTTTGTTTCTCTTTAGATAATGCTTCCATTTCCTCGGCAATTAATTCTTCAGGAGTTTTGCCAATTCGCTTTATCGCTGATTGGACTCGTTTACTCATTTGATTTTGGGCATCTGTTGAATCGGCCTTATAAACTGTTTTGAAATAGTCTTTTATACTCTTCTGCGCCTGATTTTCCTCCACTTTTTTAACAACAGGCTTGAGGATTTCCTCAGTTTTTTTGTGGGACCACCCGAATTTCTCTTTAGCAAAATCTGTTAATCCTACAAAGTCGGGTTTTGACCAAGAAAATTTCTCTCTGCTCGTTTCAACTGTAGGTTCCAGGTATGCATGAACTACTTGTGAGCTGGGAAAATTATCTGTGAAGGTGATATTTTTCAATTTGTTTTTCAATACCGACCTACCTAGACCTGCCGACTTGCCCTTATTAAACCAGGATCGAAATTCCTTTAATCCCGACAGTAACTCAGTGTGAGATAAGCTAAATTCTTGAGACTGCATTGGAGGAAATGCTGCCAAAATTTCGAGAGCTGTTACAGGACCTACACCTTGCAGTCCAATAGTGTAATCACTTCCAACTAAAAGTGCTAGAAGAATCATTTGTTCTCTTGTTAATTTAAAATGGTGTTTAATGTTTTCAGCTTTAAACTCCATTACGTATTTGCTTGGACTGAAGAAATTTTTATAAACAGTGCGACCACCAAAAAGCCAAATATCGCTATCATCGGTAATCGTGCCATCTGTAAGTTCAATGGTATCCAAAAAGGCACATTGTGCCTCAGCTTCCATGGGTGCAACAATGTATGGCACACCGAAAAGTTCCAATAAATCCTGAAATAATATGTATTACTATTAATGACCATTAAATATTAACTTATTTCTGTAAGTGGTTGCTAGTAAAAATAAAGATGTTATATATTTGTAATGAAGGGTGGGATCTATATAGCTAACCTTCATGACGAAAAAAGTTCTAATGAAAATTGAGTAATAAAAAATTAGAATTAGATTAATTTAAAACTTTGCATTTTAAAAAACATACCTGCGCCTCCTGATACATTTGGTCTGTTATATTGCTTGCCATTCTTTCTTTGGTCGATTTTTCCACTAAAATGTCAAGTTTTTCTTTCTGAAGATTATCTTTTAATTTTATCATTTCGTCCAACTTCATATTGGGAACTTTAAGCTCTTTACTTTTATGAAGACTTGATTTTTCCTCAGAGGTGCCATTTACGGTTTCTCTTGATAAATTTTCCAAATCAGGTATTTTTTCTACCGTATCAGGGACAGATATTTTCGACACTACATCCACAGAATTTTTATTGGAATCTTCATTACGTGAACTGCTAATTTCGGTTTCTGGTTTTTCAATATCACAAGACACTTTCCTTTTTGTCTCTGAAACTTCACTAATAACATTACCATCAAATTCAGATTGTTGCTGAATTACAATTTCAGAAATACTAGTCTTAATTTCTTCATTTCTGTCAAATATATCACTAAATAAATCATCGTCTTCTAATTTCTGATTTGGATCAATCACAATTTCCACAGAATTTTTATCTTTTGATACTATTTCTTCAGAAACTTCTTCGAATTCATCAGAACTAGATGTGTCACCATTTGATAATAAATCGATTGTATCTATTTTATCTGCAGTAGCTTTTGTAATTTTGTTAATATCATCAGATGAACTGATTATGCAGTTTGAGTCATCAAAATTATTTTGATCTGTGGAAATTTTTTTAATATCTGACAATTCACTTCGAGTAACATTTGCACTAACTTCTTTTGAATTTACTTCATTTCTGTTTTCACATTTTCCATCTTTGCTTTCCAAACTCGTTTGTTCATTAGAACTGATTTTGCACTGCTCTACATTATTTCTATCGCTGTCATCAACATTATTATTACTCAACTTAATTTCAGCCAGGTTTCTAAATCTTTTTTCTACAATTGTTTTACCTTTCGAACTGTTCAATTCTTTTTTATCATTTAATATCTTGTTAATTTCATTTGGCGTAAGTCCACTGTATTCCATCATGTAGCTTTGAGCCGAAGAAATTTTTTTTTTAACAGGCACTTCTTCCACTTCATCGCTAACATCAGATTCAAAATCAGCATCATTAAAGTTCTCCAAAAATGAGAATCGGGGTTTGTTTTTGTTATCACTGCTACTTGAAACTTCTGTTTTAGAAGTGGAAGGTTCTTCTTGTAATGATAATGCAATAGCTTTTTCCAAATCTTCTTCGAATTCTAAATCGGCCTTTGTTTTGTTTTTTGTTTCAATCACTGTATCATTCTCATTACTATCTTCCTCTTGAATTGAATCTAACTTCAATTGTTCTTGTCGAGCTTTTTCTAGGGCTTGTTTAATATCTTTGATATATAAATACCTCGTGTTTTCATCAGATGCTATACGTTTTCCAATGTCAGTGTTAGTTACTACACCGTGATCTTTTAGGATAGATTCCAATTCAGCTAAAGATAAAGAATGTCCCCCCATTTCTTTTTCTGCATCTTCTAATGCAGACTGCACAGCCTGTCTTTTAAGTAGTCTGCTCATTTGATACACAGCAAAATCATCGCTTTGTTTCGGTAGTTCATGCAATCTACCCCAGGAATTTTGCTTTCTTGTCTCCTTTAAATCCGTTAATATCTCATGCCTCACATCGACCGGTAAAGATTTAAAATTTGTGCTCGACATATCGATATTGTGTATGTCCCAATGTTTAGTTGGACTTGAATCAGTTGTGTCTGTATTTTCCAAATCCTCTTCTTCAGATGATGATATGGTGGAATCCAATTCAGGAGCAGGTAAAGCATACATATTTTCATGTTTAGTGGTTTTTTTCAGAGGAAGAGTTAAGCAAGCCTTTGTTTTTTCAGATATGACTTTACTTATAGCCGAATGCTTTAAAAGTGTACTTATAAGTTGTTTTTGTAGTCTTTCAGCTTCAGAAGAATTTCTCGATTTCTGCTGATTTCTTTTGGCCTTAAATAAAATAAAAAATATGGAGTATGTACCTAGTTAAAACTTAAAAAATACTGGTGTATATAATCGTTTATTCATATTTATATTTATATTTAACCATAAATATTGAAGATTCATAGTTTCAAATTAAGTATATGGCAGAACACAGGAAGTATAAAATATAATATTAAAGGTTTTTCTTTATGATATTTTAGGTTATGTTTACAATGACCATTTGTTTTCATTTTCTAATACTCACTATCGTTTGTTTTTTAAGAACTGGCACTCCCCCATCAAAAATAAATACTGGTTTAATCTTAAAATAGAGAAGTTTGCAGACTCTATGGTAAATACCTAACAAATGGGCATTAGGAACTGGGGCTCCTTTGGAGTCTTGAAAACCTTTTACAACTTGATGGAGCCAAATTGAAACATCTAACAAAAAAATAAGGAAAAACATAAAAAATTAACTAATCTTGTGAAATTCTATAACCGACATTATTTTACTGTCATCGAAATTTATATTATTTCAAAAAAAGGATACCGACAGCCAAAACTTTATTTTCCAGAGTTTCTAAAGGGACAGGTTTGCCTGAAGGCTCTATGAGCCGCCAAAGCCCATGAACTCCCATTATCACCGTGCTATCACCCTACCACTATCCTTCTACGAACTGCGAAATGTCTAAAAATTAAAAATACAGCGACTTTTCCCACGCTATGTGGAGCGCGGCGCATTACGACGGCGCGATGGGGCTACTGTGTGTCGGTAATAGTCGACGGTTCTCATGATTTTAGATGCAAGAATCATCAAATCAGAGGTAATCTCGTAAGCTAGCATTCTGAATTATATTGCAGCGCAGCCGTATCAAATAAATGTTTGGCCACCCACTCTTTCCCACACCATATTTTCCCACGCCCCGGCCGTAACCCCGACATCCTCCTTCCCTTGTTTTAGGATGTTCAGGGGCGTGCGGAGAGGAACGTCGGATACAAACAAATGTTATCATCGGATTAGGGTCATTTTACATCGATTAGTCTTGAGAATCGGTATATACAAGGGTAGTCAGATAGCTATGTCATAAATAATTAATATACGTAGATTAAACTTTAAGAATCAGTAAGGCATTAAGTTGTGGTATGTCTATAATATATTCAAGATTATTAATTCTATAGACAGCGTTTATTTCGCTAACTTATAGTGAGTTATTAAGCAAACTAGTAAATTGCAAACTGTTCATAGCTAATCTGAATTTTCATGAATATTTAGCCAAATTACAGCTATTTCAAAATATATATTGAGATGAAACCAGATTAATGGGATAAAAGTAAAATTTAAATTTAAAATCGTTATATAAAAGACAAAGTGGCAAAATCAATGGTTGGAATGATTATTTTAAAATTTATGATTGAGTTGATTATTATGTTAGTAAATAGATAGAAAATAAGTTAGAATAAGAGGTAATAAATGATATTAAAAATGAAAGACAATTTGTAGATGAATTAAAATATATGTCAGAAAAGTGTCAAATTTAAAGTAGAATACACAAGGATTATGTAGTTATTAGAAAGGGTAAATAATATGAGAAAATAAAAAAATATTTTGAAGTATAAGATAAAATTGAATGTAAAGAAAGTAGAATAAGGTGTATAAGTGAATAAGAGAAAGTGAAGTGAAGTGAATTATAAGAGTAAAAGGACACGTTCAAAGATATGTGGAAAGGCCTTTAGAGAAAAAGAAAAAAAATCAAGATAGTAAGAAAAGAAGAGGATTTATTGATTAGTTACAAAAATAATTTTGAAAACGACAGTTGTTAAAAGTAAGAAAAGAAAACCGAGAGAAATAGAAGCAGTTAAGAAGCAAGAAAAGGGAAAAAGATTCAAATAGGAGAAAACAAGGAATTAAAATAATCAATTGGAGAAATAAGGTATTTACGAAATTCGAGACAAGCGGATCCTCCACAAACCAGGTCCAGGGAGAGATAAAGAACGCAGAACAACAGTAGCAGAGTTCATAGACCAGTAGGAGAGTCAAGAGAACAGGAAGTAAACCGCATATCATTGGCATAGGAGAGAATCGAGATAACAAAGTAAAGGAGAGAAGTTAATCAACACATCTTTAACGATTATAAGTATAAAAAGGTACCTCTTATAATAAAACAAAATCGTATACGATATATAATACAGAAAACAAAAATTAATATAAAACGTTTAGTAAATCACCAATTCACTATTAAGTAAATTTATCTAATCACTTCATATCTATTTAAAACTGGCCAAGTCTTTGTAGAATTAAGTATTAATAGTAGAGAAAATTAATAAGTATTAAACAAGAAGTTATTACTACAGTGTCTTAAGGTATACAACCAGTATTGCATGAAATTTAATTAAATGATATTATCAATATAACTTCTTGTATAAGGCTTTTTAAACATTGTAAAATACTTCAAAATATATTGATTAGTGTGTTTAAGAGGGTAGAGTGACAAATTTTGACATATATATAAAAAAAATTAATTTTTAATAAATACATTTATTACTAAACCTTTTGTTTTTGTAGCTGTGCTTGGTGTGGTTTCTTGCTAGAACATAGAACCGACTACGGAGATAGAGTCTAGGGCTAGATAGGGCAAAGATAGACAATACACAATACACCAATCCAATCAAAATTAATATCAAAACTAACAAAATTTATTTTGGCGCTAACATATAAAACCATACACACATACAATCATAACAAAGTATAAATTGATATGTTAGATTTGTTTCCTCGAGACGAATCTAAGGATGTCTCATTCGACTTCTGTATGATTTCAGATTACGAGATATATGTACCTATTTATCATCAAAGTTGCAGAAAGACCGATTTCAAGAATCATTTTCGGAGTAGTGTGCTTCATGCTCATAGTTTTAAAGTAATAAATGCGGTTCATTTTTCCCGTCAATACTTGTTTCGTCTCGATTCGTTTATCTGTTCGAAAATTATGAGCAGAAAGATAACATTTCATCCTTTAGTTAGATCAATTAGATATACAGTATAGCTTATGAAATAAGAAGTCAATGGTTACTTCTCAATTTTTAAGATGACATCCGTCTATAGAATAGGAAAAAGTACACCCGTTTGTACTCGAATCAATTTATAGACATGTTCACGCGAAAAAAGTAATTCCTTATAAATTGACGGACAAGAATTTGAGAGTACCTATAATCATCTAAATTGTTCGATTATTTTTTATTTCTAACATTCTTTCACAAGTTGGATGTGTAGAAATTAGTACATTTAGGAATACCGATAATTTTACTTATTTAATTTATTATTGATCCGTAATAGTACATTATACTATAAGGGAGAGAAATGCGTTATTTTGGCAGAGGTGCAATTTGAAGCCCGAGGGCTACAATGCACCGAGGACAAAATAACACCTCTCCCGAATGGTATATACTATTTTTTCCACGGTCTCATTAACTTAAAAACACATATTTTGTCATTATGAAGTAAGTAGCACCAGAATTATTGTATTCGGATTTGAGCATTTATTTAGTAGTCGTTGAGTTATTGTCATAACTACAAAATAAACAAACAAAAAGAATTGTCAAATTAAGGTGCTAGTTTGGTTTAGTTTAAAGTTTGTTTAGTGCACAATGAATAATTGTGAGTCGGAAGAGATTGTGGAGGCTGCAAATATTGCAATAAGCAATTTGCTGCCTACGAAGTCAAGATCTTTATACGATATAGCCTACAATCGGTTCAAAAAGTGGTGCGCCGAGAAAAATGTTCAAGTATACAGCGAGAATGTTTTGTTGGCATACTTCAGTGAAAATGCAAAGAATTACAAGTCTTCCACATTATGGGCGCAATATTCTATGGTTAAGTCATGCTTGATAATTTACGACAACATAGATATAAGCAAATTCCCCAAGCTGATCGCATTTTTGAAAAGAACCGGTGACGGATATCAAGCGAAAAAATCGAAAATATTGACAAAGGGTGAAATCGACCGTTTTCTATCAAGTGCAGATGACAAAGAATTCTTAATGATTAAGGTAAGATTACTTTTGTTGTTAGGTATTTCAATTATTAAGTATTTTGATTTTTTATAGGTTGGATTAATTCTGGGGATTGCCGGAGCTTGTCGAACTGATGAACTAGTCAATTTAACTGTAGATGATATTGAGGATGTAGGCTCTTCCTTGATTGTAAAAATTCCAAACACTAAGACAAAGATTCCACGAACCTTTGTGGTTACCGATGTGGGAAATATGCTTGAATTGTTTCGAAAATACCTGTCCCTTCGTCCTCCCCACGTCAAGCATAAGCGCCTTTTTTTGTACTACAAAGCAGGAAAATGTAGTTCGCAGCCAGTTGGCAAGAATACCATGGGAAAAATTCCGAGTGTAGTAGCTTCGTATTTAAAATTACCTGATGCTGCATGTTATACTGGTCACTGCTTACGAAGATCTTCAGCGACATTACTGGCAGATGCTGGTGTGGATATCACGACAATAAAGCGTCATGCTGGTTGGAAATCAACGACAGTCGCTGAGGGTTATGTCGAGAACTCCATTGAAAATAAGACCAAAATTGCTAATCAGGTTTTAGTAGGTACCACTACTAGCGCAATCACAAAAACTGTAAATGTAAGCGAAAGTAATATTCCTTCTAATATTAATTTTGAAAATTGTACAAATGTAACATTTAATTTAAATGTCAATAAATAATTTCAATGTTATCTTTTTTTTTGCATGAAAAACGTTCTCCATAATGTAAACTCCCTTGGGAGCATTATACTCCCTTGGGAATAATCGACTACTTCTGTTTTAATTTTGATGTCATAGAAACTGATTTCTACTCCCGACCGTGGAAAAATGTATTTTATTGAACTTTCTATAAAGAAAATTCACTGTGATGAATACATGAAGTGATAACTTTAAAGGGATTTAAATATTTTTAAATTAAACGCCCCTCGTATACGTATTTGTTGACAGTTACTATGGTGCGACCGTGTGAATTACCCTTTATCTAATACCAATTGCATATCACATCAGCACATCACAAATTCAATTTGTCATTTTGTATAAACGAAACGTTAAACATAAAACTGTATCTCATATATGTATATATTTAACGTATATTGAAGGTTATGGTATAAACAATTAATTTTATTATTTTCTTTCCTGATATGTTGTCGTCGTAAAACATTAATTTCAGTAATTTCATTATTAGATGTTGGCCAGACTGTCGGAAAATTAAAGCTGTAAACAGGTGTTTTTCGAATGGAATGAGGTAGCATGGTCAAAGAGGGGAGAAACTGAAACTGAATCAAACAGCAAGCATTTTGTTCTCACGAGTTAAAGGTAGCTTGGTGTGGAACTGTGCAAGTGGTAACCGAGTCACGCACAGTGTTTACAATTTGTTTACGCTTGCACCAAAGTGTATGTGCTATTCCGTTCTAGTCATTAAATATAAACAAGAATTCATTTAAATAGACACTGTTTTAGAGCGCAGTGTAAATATAAAAAAGTAAAAATTGTAGGAAATATGTGGTGTTATATGAAATTCATGTGAGTTCTTGTGGAAGTTAAGATGCCTCACCAGTACGGGCTACCAGGAATTGCCCATGCCCAGTCACCCCCAACTCCACCCCCTCAGCATGGTGCGATGTACCCTCGATTTTCCGGAGCAGTAGTACCAGGTGGTTATAGAGGTGAAGACAGAAGGCTTACTAGGGAGGCTATGGAAAGGTATTTGAGGGAAAGGTCTGATATGGTTATAGTAATTTTACATGCTAAAGTTGCACAAAAGTCATATGGAAATGAGAAGAGGTTTTTCTGTCCACCTCCTTGTATATATTTGTTTGGAGATGGATGGAGACTGCGACAGGAGCAAATGCTGAGAGAAGGCGAATCAGAGCAGGCGTCTCAGTTGTGTGCTTTCATAGGAATTGGCAATTCAGATCAAGATATGCAGCAATTAGATTTAAACAATGGTAAACAATACTGTGCCGCAAAGACTTTATACATATCCGATTCTGATAAACGTAAACATTTTATGTTGTCTGTGAAAATGTTCTATGGTTCTGGACATGATATTGGAGTGTTTCATAGTAAACGTATTAAAGTCATATCAAAACCTTCCAAGAAAAAACAAAGCCTTAAAAATGCCGATCTGTGTATAGCTAGTGGTACAAAAGTGGCACTTTTCAATAGGTTAAGGTCTCAGACTGTCTCTACTAGGTATTTACACGTGGAAAACGGACATTTTCATGCCAGTTCCACACAGTGGGGTGCCTTTACGATACACTTGTTGGACGATAATGAATCTGAAAGTGAAGAGTTTCAAGTACGGGATGGTTATATTCATTATGGATCTACAGTTAAGCTAGTCTGTTCTGTCACGGGTATGGCATTACCTAGACTGATTATTCGGAAAGTGAGTAAATTTTTAAAACTTGGTAATTGGTATTGATTATTGAATAAAAATTAGTTGGTTGCATCTTATAGAGAGTGTCCAAAAATGAATGGGCGTAAGCTTTTTTAGTAGAGAATTAACTTTTGTAGATCAAGTACTACTTTAAAAAGTTATAAGCCGTAACAATTTTAATTTATTATTGGTATAGAAAAAAAACAGGCTATAATTCGGTACATTCGGTTGCTCCAAAAGTCCTCTATATGGTATGGAAAGGTTTTGGTTCAATTAAATGTGAGAATAGGTAGCTTTTTTTACTTAAAACAGGGTTTGTTAAGAATACCTACCATATGTATTTGTTAGTTTTTTTGCTATATTTTTTTTGTTGGTAAAGATTTTTTGAGAAAATGCATTTATTATATATTTTTTTCTACTGTAATTATTATGGAGAGACAAGTATTTGCTGGTATTCTATAATTTCATAAATTTGTTTCAAATGAAATTACAGTACGATTACTAAAAGTAGGTATCAAATAGATAAAAACATAAATAGTAATACCTAGATGACTATGTCATCTGTAAGTGCAAGAAAAATAAAGTAATGAGGTTAAATTTCACCCTTTTGCTAAATTCATAACTTTTTTTTTTTTTACAATTTAGATCAACTTACCACTTACCTCTGCAAAAATAAAAAATTCAGAGAACTATGTCTTTGTCGATGTTGATTTTGTAAAAAAAGTCTAATTAGTACATTCACCAAAAAAATGTTCTAATTAGTTTAAAATAGTTTTGGTACAGCTCGTGTTATTAAAGTATTTTAAGATATTTACGTACAAAAAAAATAATTAAGTAAAGAGTTATTTTGAAGGTAGGAAAAAAATTCTAGAGTAACTTGATCTAAATCGGTTTATTTTCACTTAATAAAATTAGTCTTGGGGTATGGCCTATTCATTTCCTAACACCGCGTATAAATTACCAGTGTTTTTAAATGAATAGACAAAACGTTGTACAAGTCAGTTTTTGTTATAGTGATATATTTTTTTTTTACCTATTTTTCAACAAATATTTTTTACCTATTCCAGGTTGATAAACAGCAGGCCTTGCTGGAAGCCGATGACCCTGTGTCTCAGCTTCACAAATGTGCATTTTACATGAAAGACACAGAGCGGATGTACCTTTGCCTGTCGCAAGAACGCATTATCCAGTTCCAAGCGACACCCTGCCCGAAAGAACCTAACAAAGAGATGATCAATGACGGCGCTTGCTGGACCATCATCTCCACGGATAAAGCCGAATATCAATTTTACGAGGGCATGGGTCCAGTGCGATCCCCTGTCACGCCTGTTCCTATAGTACATAGTCTCCACTTAAACGGGGGTGGTGATGTTGCTATGCTGGAACTCACCGGCGATAACTTCTCGCCATCGCTGCAAGTTTGGTTCGGCGACGTCGAGGCTGAAACTATGTACAGGTGTCAGGAGAGCATGCTGTGTGTAGTGCCAGATATTTCCCAGTTTAGGGGTGAATGGTTGTGGGTGAGGCAGCCGACACAGGTCCCCGTGTCGCTTGTGAGAAACGATGGCATAATTTACGCGACAGGTTTGACGTTTACTTACACACCGGAACCGGGGCCTAGGCCGCATTGCGCTCCTGCTGATGAAATTATGAGGCAGGGCCAGAGAAGTGCTGCGGTGGCACAGGCTCAGTCCCAGGCGGCTATCGCAGAGGCTGCTTGGAACTCCCACGGCATGCATTAGTTGTAAGTTAGTCAATATCTGCCTTAAAATCTATTGCAATAAGTACTCTTACTAGAGTCGGGGTGTATACTAATGTGGAAAACCTGATATTAACGGAGAATTTTATAGATTTGGAAATGTTGGAGAATTTCTCAGATTTTCTTTGAATTTTTTCAAATTGGATCGTTATTACAAGGCATTGCCCTTGGACGTCACGTTTTCAATATTTGTGAAACAAATTTATTTATCACTGCACGACAGAGATCTTAGAAACTAATGATATACAGAAAAAGTTATATTGGCAAAGCAGTGCAGAATTTAATACTAATCAACATACCTCTCAGAATATAAATCAACTCTCATACAACCTCTCCTTTTAAAAATCATGACAAAAATGTATCGTTTTACAAGTTTTTCAGCTCAAAATGAACTTAATAACTAAATTTGAAAAAGATCGACTTACTTTTTCTTTAATAAAACTCAAACGAAGATGATATGTTCAGGCATTAAATTCTGCATTATTTTGTCCATATAAGCTTTTCAGTATCTCTAATAGTTACTGAGATCTTGTAGTGATAATCAAATTTGACTCACCCTGTATAGATATAATGAAATTTTTTCTATGCTTTTAGAAAAAAAAGTGTTTAATTGTTTTTGCTGGTGGAAACCCAAATAAGCACAATTTTACACAATGTAGAAAAAAATGGCTTTATTTCAATCGGCCCAAAATTAAAAATAATATCCACATTTTTTTAATACATGAGGATTTATTGGCTCAATTCTAATAGCTTTAATTTATTTTGATAAAATTTGTATTTCGACTAAATTAAAATTTTTGAAATTTGATTAAATTTAATTCTTTTACCAAATTTAACTGGCTCTAATTTATTTCGACTAAATTTAAATATTTTGCTAAATTTAAAATTTTTAAAACTATTTTGACCAAAAAATTTTTAAATTTTGTTAAATTTAAAAAAGAGCGACTTAAGTACTTTTTTTTAGAAAAATTCAAACGAAGATGAAGTATTTTTTGTCAGTGGTATGCTGTTAAGCATTAAATTCTCATTCAATTCAGTATCTCTAATAGTTACTGAGATCTTGTAGTGATAATCAAATTTGACTCACCCTGTATAGATATAATGAAATTTTTTCTATGCTTTTAGAAAAAAAAATGTGTTTAATTGTTTTTGGGGGTCTAAACACCAAATAAGCACAATGTTATACAATGTAGAAGAAAATGGCTTTATTTCAATCGGCGTGTATTAAAAATAATATCCACATTTTTTTTTAAACGAAGATTTATTGGCTCAATTCTAATAGCTTTAATTTATTTTTATTAAATTTGTACTTTGACTAAATTAAAATTTTTGACTAAATTTAAATTTGATTAAATTTAATTCTTTTACCAAATTTGAATGGCTCTAATTTATTTCGACTAAATTTAAATATTTTGACTATATTTAAAATTTTTTAAATTATTTTGACTAAAAAATTTTTATATTTTGTTAAATTTAAAAAAGGAGCTACACTTTTTTTTTAATAAAACTCGAACGAAGATGAAGCTTTTTTTTTCCAGGGGTATGTTGCTAAGCATTAAATTCTGCATTATTTTGTCCATATAAACTTTTCAGTATCTCTAATAGTTACTGAGATCTTGTAGTGATAATCAAATTTGACTCCCTGTATAGATATAATGAAATTTTTTCTGTGCTTTTAGAAAAAAAAAGTGTAATTGTTTTTGCTGGTCGAAACACAATCTTACACAATGTAGAAGAAAATGGCATTATTTCAATTCATCTAAATTAAAAATAATATCCACAAATTTGAATTTATTTTGACTAAATTTAAAATAGTTTATTTTGACTAAATTTAATTTGACAATTTGAATTTTGAAGTAATATTTAGAAAAATTATTTTTAATGAGAGCTCTACATATTTTTTAATTAGTACAACTTTATCAATAATATTAATAGAGTAAATATTAATTTTCATAATAAAATTCTTAATTTGATCAAAGAAATAATATTTGCTGGTTTCGTATGGTATTATTAATTAATACCATCCTAATTTAGCTAAAAATTACACGTAACTTTAAAAAATTGTATTTTTTTAATTATAGCCGATTGAAATGTCGTTTTCTACTAAACCAATGTTTTTTAAGTGAATATCTATTTAAATAATCAAGCAAACAAAAGTTCTTAGAAGGAAAAGTGTTTTCTGAAATTATAAATATAATGTTCCCTATTTGACGTAAATTTTATGGTGGACAATTTTTTAAATAATCATATTTTGTTAAATATCTAGCTGGGATAGATTTTAAATCTACCGGGAAAGTCTGGAAGTATCGGGGAATATTTTGGTTAAAATTTAGTATACACCCTGAGAGCGCGAGGCGTGAGTAACTTTTAGTTATTTATTCTGTAATGTTTTATACTTTGTGAATATGTCGGCAATTATTTGCTTCAAATTAGATTAATTTTATAAAAATTTATATAATTTTAAATATTTATTTTCCGTATTTTAAAAATCTGCTAGTGCGTCTTGCTATTAAAACTATAAGTTGGATGTGTCTCTCTCGATTAACAGTTTTGTTTTATTGTTTTTTATATATTTTTTATTGTGATATGTTTTGAACACGAATCATTTTAATCGTTTGCTGTTACTCTAACTTCATTTGTGGAAATATTTGCAATTATTTCATTGTACAAAGAACAACACAATCTACTGCATTTACAAAGTATTTTGTATTAAATGTTTTTTTTATTAAAAGTTTTGCATTGTATTGCATAAAGTAAAGGTTATCGACTTATTCCTTGCAGCTTTGCAAGATCTGTCCGTGCAATATATAAACCATTAAAATGATTTCTCATTTATCGTTTATTCAGGAATATAGTATAGAGTTGAAACAATTTTTTTATGATGTTAAACCAAAGTTAAATAAGCCTAGAAGCTTTTCTCGAATACTTTATTAGTTTCGGTCCCATATCTCCATAAGTCTTAGTACTGTGCACAACGAATGTATAGGATTAAAAAATAATATTGTAAATATAGGTACATAACTAACTCTAAGTAAATTCTTATATGAAGTTGTAAATTGTGCATATTTTGTAGAAATACAAAGACTAAAAGAACCCTGAACATGTTTTTGTTAGTTTTTTTTATTGCACAACCGTTGAAAAATAAGGAAGTCCAAATTTTCACACGGATATCTTAAAGAGTTTCTCACGATGAATGAAAAATAAAATCTCCTCTTAAAACGTAGTTATTTATACATGAATGTGGGAATTTGTGGAAACAATGGTATTATTTTTAATAATTGCTTTCCTTCTGTATATTAATTAGGTGATCCCATTCCCATAGTTAAGACAGAAGGTGAAACAGTTACCTTTTTATTATCCCTGGGAAAAAGGGATTATTGTGCGTGCTAACTTTTATGTACAAGGCAATGACATGTTCCTTGGACAAGATAAAAATGCAGTTTCGTAGTTTTTATGATGCATAATTCTAATGACACATAGAAGTATCATTGTTTTGGTGCTTTTTGAAAGTTAGCAGGATTTGATCCAAAGCGGAAAGTAATTTTGTATCTTGAAAATTTGGATCAATATTTACCAAAGTACATACATAAGTATTTTTTTATTTATTTGCCTTTTATTTTTATAACGAAACATGGAACCCATATCGTTTTTAAGGGAATGATTTCTAGATACACAGAACTTTCGTGATGAAAAAATTTTGAACTAAATTTGTGAAATAAAAATTGGAATAGGGGTGATCGATCTCAAGATCTTGAAATACAATATACAAAATATTTTATTCTTAATCGACCGATAAATGCAAAGAGGCAGTCTCATATTTTTTTTCTTAAAGTTTCAGCATTATGAAGTTTTCATAATGGAATGTTAAGATTAAATTAGAATTTAAATAAATATAACTGGGAGGAAAAATTTATTTTACAAAACAAAAAAAGACATTTGATTGCTTCCATTATCTAGTTAATTATGAAAAAAAAAAATTGCAAATATATGTTCAATACTTTTCGAGATATTAGAGCCGGTTATCCCTATTTTAATTTTATAATTTACATATTTCATTCAAATATTTTTTATTACTAAAGTTGTTTTTGTAGACATGGAAACCATTCTCTATAAAACGGTATAGGTTCCATGCTTCGTTATCAATATACGACCACTTGTTATTTTTTATACTATACACACAACTGAAATTTAAGATTCTTCTGTTTAATGCATGCAAATAGCAAATAGTAAGATATGAGGTTGGATAAGCAACAACGAATATGGTGGGAAAAATTCCACTTTTGGAAACATTCCCATGTCAATTGTTTATCATTTGAATAGTCCGCGCTCGCATTCTTCAACAGGTAGTATACATTTCTACCACCTGCACGTTTAGTTTGACCAGACCTGTACATATGGGTATGGCTAAATAAATATGGGAACAAGTTTTTCAAATATTTCAATGCCGAGTTGCTGCGTAGCGACCGAGCCTGGTACATACCTTGAAGTTCTTCAATTGACTTCGGAAAAACTTTACAATAGAAAATCTAGTTATTCCGCTTAGTATGTAGGTGCTTTAATTTCCTAAATACATATAATAGAGAAAAAAAGAATCAAATATTGCTCTTAAAAATATATCGATATATATACTTTTTAAATAGAATACTTATTACATTTTTTTACCAACACATTGGCTGCATTCAGAAAATCACATCGGTGACAATTCCATAAGCAATCATAATGTTGAACATACCGTAAATTAACGCAAAGTAATCGAAGGCTGTGTAATCGAACGGCAGTTTTTCCATCAGCTCCAATCCGCCTACAGAATCGGTGAGTTAGTGGGTGTACTTGTATGAATCGTTTTGATTCCATGTATTCCGTCCATGTTAAACAATCTTAGTTTCTGAGTGGCTCTACATAATCTTTAGTAAGAATAAAAGAACACGGCCTAACGTATCGATTTTGTCGCCTGAATGTAGCTTTCGTTTTCTATATTCGATTAGTAATCGCGATTGCTTGTGGCTTGTATTGCATTGAACTACAAAGTTCAATGGATAAATTTACGTATATCCATATCATCTGTTTCTGTTGTTATTCTTGGTAATGATATTCAGTTGGAGTCGCAAAATATTCATGTTGAAATATAAAAAATCGTTAAAGTAAATGAAAAAAACGTAACTGTAAGACTCAACAAATAAGAGAAGTGAGGGAAATGGACATTCACAAAAACTCATCAAAAATGGTCATTAATACACGGCCCATGAATTAGCGGCGAGATTTAGAATCTATCGGCGTCGGCTAAATGAAGCCATGGAGGTGTTTTGTTTTCACAGCGCATGCGTGAAAAAAATTTAGTTGGACACTACTTATACATCGTATGTAGTGTTGTAGACAAGGAATTAAAATTTTTGTTAATTTTCTTTAATTCTGTCGATAACAAGTGTACACTACTTTTTGTCCAGAGATATTTATTTATTTTGTTTACAAGGTGTAACTTTGAGTGGGGATCATATTTATACAGAGGCCTCCTTTGACCTTCAGAAACACGTATCAATAGTTTATTTTTTCAAATTCCGTCGTAAAAACTTACAATTTTTAAAATTTTTTTTAGTAATTTTCGTACCCCACCGCTGGAGAAGCTAGTGTAACCTCGATTAACGGCGCGATTTAGTCGCAGCGCATGCACAATCCCATACCCACACTATTCGCCGCAAGTTCGTTTTGTTGGGTGGGTGTTCGCAACACAAACGGTACTTAACAAATACAAAAAAACTCAAGTAGTACTCAATTATGATAAATGAAATACATTAAAATAAGTAATCTGTTCATGGCTTCCAGCGATGAAAAACATTCAAATTCATAGTGAGAAGAACTGTCCCCAAATGCGAAACAACCAAGGACATTTAAATAAAGGGGACTATGCATGTCACAGTCTATCTCATATGTTGGGTGAAGCTAGACAAGGGGAAAGCAGAGGGCTTTATTTTCATCCAACTGATGCGCGCGATTACATCTCCAATGTCGTACATTTTGGATGGGTCAAAATAAAATATTTTATAGTCCTAAGTCAATATATTTCAACAGCTACTCAGTATTTTTATAATAAATATATATAATATTTTTATAACTTCTTGGAATCCCAATAACTGTAACCATTTCTTTCTTGTTGCACCATCCTCAAAAATCCTAAAAACGTTCACATTTCACTTTTAGAATACTGAGGCAAATTTTCAGTGAGACATAAAAATATATTCCCAAAGGAGAACATCAAATGGTTGAATGAATGCAACTTTCAGTTGATTGCATCTTCGGTATTTTTATGTATAAGTGAACCACCATCATATATTTCTATATATTAAATATTAATAATGTCTGTAACTTATTTCTTCATCTCTTACTATTTAAGTAAAAATTTAAAAAAAATACCAAGTCAGTTTTATAAAATTTTACCGTTATTCAAATAAAAGTTACCCACACGCACGACAATGGCCACAGTTGCATATACATTCCAAAGTCACCTTCAAGCACGCTTACCTGTGGAAGGATAGCTGATGTGGATGTTTATAATCCAATTTCTTACAAATTCTGCATTGTCTAACCATATTCACACCTTAAAAGTTTATCCAAAATATATGTATAAACATTAATCACGTTTCACTTACTAAAATCACAACTATTTTCTAACAAGAGACGCCATATTCTGCCAACCACGGCAGAACGAACGAGGAACACGCTACAAATTATTGCGCAGTTGCCAAGTCTTCAAACATGGCAAATATGAAAAATGAAAAATAGTTTAATATGTACAGAATTTAACAATATCGTATGCATAACTTAATAATACTATCCTATAATAATAATTTCCACAATTGTGATGAAAATTGCGATAAAAATATTAAGTACATTTCCAGTATAATTATACAGCTGACAACAATGATACAATTAGACTGTGAATAGACCAGGCTTCATCTAGAAATGTAAATAAATAAGTCCCCTTTATTTAAATGTCCTTGGAAACAACTAACAACTGACGCCCCTCTGTGACGCCCTTCGCTTCGTTAACGTTGACCCGCACTATCTCCCTTCACATGCACTGTAGGTTGCCTACAATTCATATATTTGTAACACATAAGAATTAAAGTGCATTTTAAAAAACTAACTTTAATCAAATAAATATTCGTTGTGTAGACCTAGCAGGAAATTTGTTGGTCAATGAATAGAAACAACTCGCGTTCAATAATATAATTTATTATTGTCATACATCTGATATTTCCGTATTTACAAATATCCTCACATTAAATAAAAATATAATTACTTAAGGTGATGTAAGTATATTTACATAAGAATATAAATAAATGCTAACTATTGAAAAAAAAAACTTAAATATAAAACTTCGAGAGAAATACCTATACAGTGAGGTTCACTTAAGAGCCAGAGTAGATTTGTTAATAATTGGTATAAAAATACATGCTTGGAAGCACTGAGGAGTAATAGAAGATATTCGAAATACAATAATTACCGTAATTACAATGATTGTTAAATAAAGAAAATTTTCACGTTACATAATTGTAAGTTTCATTGTATGCGATTTGAGTTCTAAGGTCAGATCTTGATGAAACCAAAAAAAACTGCTGAGCTCTGATATCAGTATGATTGTAAAATGAACATTCAATCTTTTACGGGATCTTATTACGTATAAAAGTTTCTGTATAGTATTCTATATACCGCCAGATATGTAGATATAAAACCTAATTTGTCCGAGATTCCTTTCGAGACGTTACACATTTATTTCCAATAAATTATACAACAGCGCACAAACCTACTCATATTTATATTTATTTAGAACAGTTAGATCCCATTAATTTGCAAAATTCAAATGCAGCCTATACGTAAGTACAGTTTTATTTGATTCTTATACTCCTTTGCTTGTTCATATTAGTTAACATGAGTGATATGTAAGAAGTTAATAGATCATCCATTTTATACCCTAAAGAGGTTTCGCATAATAATTTAGAACCGCGAACTAAATTTCCTATCGTCATGTGGAAGTAGGTGTTGCCTGAAGACCAGTTTGATATCCTCGTGAAGGGGTGTGTTATAAGAATATCCTGAAACAAAAACGATTAAAATACAAAAGAACGGCATTTGACAAGCAAACAAAAACATTTACAGAATGCAAAAATTAAGTGGAAATAAGCTTGTGTTCCTCTTTAAGGATATTTATGTAATCACTTGTAAGTATGTACTGTACTCAGGTACAGGGTGATTCACTATATTTTGACCCCCCTTTAACTTTTTTGTTTTAAGAGTTAAAAGTTGCACGAGTTTTCATGAATTTTTCGAAAATGATAGTAGAAAAACAAATGAAGTCCAAACAAAATGGGCGCGGGTGTTAACTTTGTTAAGTTAAATGGAACACCCTGTATATTTTTACATATTTGGGTAGCATAGTCATGTAGGGTTTGTTGGGTCCATCGCTAACAATAAGCGAGATACTATTAAAAAACGAAAACAAGGTTTTTTATTAAGAAAATAATAATCTTGTAATTGTTAAACCTTTTTCAGGCATTTCTGCCTTTTTCCAATTACGTAAGGATTTACACATTTAGTTATAATATATTTTGACAGATCGGAGATTGATATGGTCCAAAATGCGTATAGGTATTGTAATTAAATCTCACTAATTAGACCGTGAGAGGGCTAATTACTCATAGACAATGTTATATGGTAGGTCGTGACAGTGACAGGTAATGTCATTATAACATTGTTATTGTTTGACAGTTTGTATTATTATTTAATTAAAATGGGTTACACAGAAGTAGAAAATTGAAATATTATAGGAATTAAAATAGAGCAAAGTTCTCCATACTCTATTTTAATTCTAAATAATTTTCTACTTGTGTGTAACCTATTTTAATTAAATAATAATACATACTGTCAATCAATAACAATGTTGTCAAGACATTACTACCTGTCACTGTCACGACCTACCAAATAATGTCGATGAGTAATTAGACCTCTCACGGCCTAATTAGTGAGATTTCGTTACATTACCTACACGCATTCTGGACCGTATCAATGTCCGATCTATCAAAATATATTATAAACTAAATCTGTAAATCTTTACGTAATTGAAAAAAAGGCAGAAATGTCTGAAAGAGGTCTAATAATTACAAGATGTATTATTTTCTTAATAATAAAACCTTCTATTCGTTTTTTAAAAGTATCTTGCTTATTGTTAGAGATGGACCCAACAAACTCTATATGGCTATGCTCTACAGGGAACGTTCTATCCAAATATGTAAAAATATACAGGGTGTTCCATTTAACTTAACAAAGTTAACATCTGCGGCCGTTTTCTTTGGACTTCATTTGTTTTTCTACTATCATTTTAGAAAAATTCATAAAAAATCGTGCAACTTTTATATTTAACATTTTTTTATAACTGTTAAAACAAAAAAGTTAAAGGGGGGTCAAAATATAGTGAATCACCCTGTACATACAACTAAAAAAACTCAATAAGGATTTCGAATTTAACCTCGACTTGTCCTTAGAACAAACGCCATTTGTTTTACTTTACATAGAATATTCAAAAAAAGTACGTATTCCTTTTGCTTTCAAAGTTTAACAAAAAACGAAAAAACAGAGATTAGAAATAAATGAGATCGAAATAATATAGCAGAATTTGTTCAGATTTTTCCTAGACAAAATATTTCAAAATTTGAAAATGTTCAAAATTAAAAAAAAAAAACATTAAATTATTTATCTGGATTAGTCAAAAACGATTTTGGCATCTCTACTTTATATCTGTAGTATAGTTAAACTCATAACATAAAAAAGAATGTCTGACTATACGAGGTCTGTTCAGAAAATAAACGAACTTTATTTTTTAAACTTTATTATTAACTTTATATATTATTAGTCCTTGTTTTCTTCAAAGTACTCCCCTTCCCTACTCGTTTGTCCCAGCGGTGTTTTTATTTTTAAACAGTCCGCGATAACTTCATTTGAAATGGCTTTTAAAGTCTGTGAGGAATTTGCTTTGATTTCATCAATAGTTTGAAAATGGCGACCTTCCAGTACTGATTTTAATTTCGGAAATAAGAAAAAATCGCAAAGAGCCAGGTCTGGCGAGTTAAGGAGGGTGAAGGAGGACAGTAATCTGATTATTGGCATAAAACTGACGAATTGACAAAGCTGAATGTGTGGGCGCATTGTCATGGTCATGGTCATTGTCTCGTCTTTTTTTGCGATTTTTTCACGTAACTGTTACAAATCGCACAATTTAAAAAAAAACAGTGAGCATCACTTTGACATTGGATCGAGGCTGACGTGCTTTATTGGGGCCTGGAGATCGTTTGCCAATCCATTCGTCTCCCGTTATGATCCTTTGAATGATAGTTTCATCGTCATTGGATTGTGCATATGGAGTAGCCGATAAACGTCCACACGATTTTCTTTCTGTTGTTCGGTCATCAAACCAGGAACAAATTTTGCTGCAACTCGATGCATGTTCAATTTTCCAGTCAAAAATTCATGGCATGACTCTATTGAGATGCTAACCTCTTCTGCAATTTCTTTGACAGTCAATCGGCCATTTGTGCGCACCAGATTTTTGACATTCTGAATGTGGGGGTCATCAGTTGAAATTGAAGATTGAGGATCATGTATTGCGTACGACTCAGACCGTCATCTCCGTAAACTTGTTTCAAAAGTTGAAACGTTTTCTTGCAAATTTTCCTCAGTTTCACGCAAAATTTTACGTTGCATCGTAGTTCCAGAGAATCTCACATATTAATCGTCACTAACACTTAAACACTTAATCCAGTAACATGTGGTTACTGAGGAGCGTTATGCTCAATGCAATGCTACCAACCGCATATCACTAAATATCTTCATTAGCGCTTAATTCAAAAAGTTCTGTTATTTTCTGAACAGACCTTGTATATTAATATTTAAGACTATTTGAATATAGTTCGAATATGTGTAGAAATATGCACTTGCACTATAAGAAATATTTTCATAAAACGCTATTTAAATGATAGTTAGTTGCATGCCGTAGCCACATGTCGCAAATTTATTATGCGCAGGCAGCATCTCGTTCTGCGCATAAGTACGAGGCAATATATGATCATAAAAGCCAAAGCAGCTACTGAGCATGTGTAACAAATGCCTAATGTAGGGAGTCTAACCTCAAAAATTTCGCCCTCAAGAGTTTAAAATAAAATGTTTCGCACATGCTCGTAAACACTGTCTGTATATTAAGAGATCGGTTAGCCAATCAAATGTCTCGTGTCTTTAGCAACCAAACTCGATTTAGTTTTAAGTATTTAACATTAGGACGATTTAACGTACTCTTATTTTTCTAGGTATGTGTTGTATAGTCATACTTTATTTGATTAGTAATTACTGACTACTTAGGATGGTAAGTATAAAAACATAGAAACCGCAGAAAAGGTCTACCTATAAGTTTGGAAGGGAATTGCAAAAAATTTTTAAAAGATTAGGACTCCCACAATTATTATAAATTCTAGGTTGTCTACGTTTTAGGAAACATAAGCGCCAATTTTGCCCAATTTTCCTTAATCATTTTTCGCAGACTATTATTAATCTCAAATGATGTACAAAAATGTTAAATATGTACCCACGTCTTACATAACAACAATGCATCCTACATTTTCTCACGGGTTAGTGCTTCCTGTTTTTGCATTATCACATGGTTGTTCATTATTTATGTTGTTATTATAACCTTATTTATCATGTTCTAATGATCAAAATAATTAACACAGCCACATTTTAATTACAGTTATTACTGCTATTTTTTTCATATTATCCATCAATTAATTACACATTCACATCAATAAATGCATTATTCTTAGAAGATCCTTATTTAATGCTAATATATTGTGGCTATGCACCATGAACTGAAATTTTTCCTTTTTGCCCGACTCTTATATGGCTTACTGGAAATTCCCGGTTGCCTATTTTCCTGTTGAAAAAAACAATAGAAAACAGGCCAATTTTTATTCCAACATCTTTTTAAAACAGTGGAAAACAATTAACAGATGAAAAAATAAAATAAAGTAACTGGATCTTTAGAGAGTAATAATAATAATTAGAGATCGGAAATTGTGTGGCGACGATCAAATAAATAAACAGTAGTAATCTAGTAAGCGGCTAAATCCGTGGTCGAGCCGTGTGCCGCTCTATGCTCATCTTACACAATGCTACTGACTACCATAAAAACCCGTACCATGTCTTCGACCAAGCAAAGCATCGAATTTAGTCACACGAACGATAATGAAAGATTACTTCTTTAATTGTTGCCTTCTAATAAATATACTGATCAAAGTTGCATTGTGTGGTTTGTTCAACACTTTTTCATTATTGGAACGAAATCATTAAGATATTTTCAATCAGCTTTCGGAATTTGTTCAGGTGATTTGAAATAAATGTGGCGTCGCACTCAAGAGATTATGATTGTAAACGAGAGGATCGATTTGGTTGAGAAAATAGAAACATTTCTCGAATACACTTTATCTCTCTTTAACTTATGAGAAATATTATACAGTTGCACACTAGCGGGCCAAACAAATTCTTAGATTCATTTGACAACCGATGTTGGATTTTAACCTAACCTAGATTTTAAAGATGCAGATTCATCCCCATTTTTATTTATTGTCAAAATGTAGTTTTCTCATAACAGGTAGGAGAACACTGTATAGCTAAATATATGGCTATTGCAACTAATTAAAATGATACAGAATCTAAATGCTTACAAGCCATGTGACCGCCGAGTTTAAGCAATTCAACATTGCACGACTGGTACTGGTACGAGTGGTACGTAACGAAAAATCTCTAAATCTTGGGGTCACCAATAATAATGATTCGTTTACAATGCGCAGTAACAAACTGTTACGCCTATGCTCGAGATAATGCGATCGACGATTGGTTGAATAGAAAATTACACCAATTGAATTTTACGCCTCCCAAAATTTATTTTGTAGGAAGAGAAACTGTAATATTGGGTTATTGATTATAGGATTTTAAAAGGAACTATGACTTCAAGATATTTTACTACATGAATCGTTCAAATTGTCATTTTAGACGAAAAAACCGCGGAGTGCTATTAAATTAGAGGGTGGAAATTGGAGATAGGGGTGAAAATACACCCCTTTCAGTTTTTTAACTGTAGCTCGAATACGAAGCAAAATTTCGCTATAGTTCATAGGAAAAATTAGTTAGAGAATTGAATTTCTCATCGAAATGGCTTATTTAAAAAATTTAAAAGAAACATTTTATGCAAAAAAATCGTTAATAAACAATTTTAAAAAAAGGAAAAAATAAATTTTTTTGCTTTTTTTTTAAGTAGCCAAAGAAAATTGCTGTACAAAAAACTAGATGAGATTTCTTTCAAAATGATGCGTTTTCAAATGTTATAACCGGTCAAACTTAAATATTTTTTAGATTTTCGTCGTTTTTAACATAATAATTATAATTTTTATTATTTTTACATCAAATTGGTTCTTTACTTAATAAAAAATTATTTCAAAAGATTTATGTGTTAATAATAAATAAAGATTTTCACAACTGTATGAAACTATGAGGGATTTTTGAAATGAAGTTACAGTTAATCATATTATTACTTATCTGGAATATGGAGATGTTTCTTTTTTTTACAGTAAAATAATATTTAAGTTTGACCGGTTATAAATCAGTCAATATTAGACCAAAAACTTTTGAAGGGAATCTCATCTGTTTTTTTTGTACAGCAATTTTTTTTGTCTACTTCTATTAAAAAAAAAAAAAATTAGAGACAAAAAAGTAAAAAGAATCAAAAATTTTGCTTCGTTTTCGTGCTATATTTTAAAAACTGCAAAAGTGTATTTTCACCCCTATCTTCAATTTCAACCCTCTAATTTAATGACCCTTCGAACAAGTCATGTGATGAAAATCCTTGAACGTCTTATTTCCTTCCTTTTTTGTAAAAAATGGAAATTAAAACGTATAAGGGTAAACGCGATGAAAATCGAAAAAAATTGGCTAAATAAGTTTGAGCGGCCATATATCAGTCAATTTTCATCCAAAAACCCCTTGTATCCCCTGTACAACCCCTTTTTTTTAAGGAAATTTTATCTACTTTTTTTTATGAAGCAATGCCTATACTTATCTTTACTCAAAAAAAAAACTAGAGGAAAATAAGTAAAAAAAATTGAAAAATCGAATTTTTTGCTTTTTTTCAAATAGTTTATTAACGATTATTTGCATAAATTTTCCTTTTAAATTTTTTAAACAAGCCATTTCGATGGGAAATTCAATTCTCTAAATAATTTTTCTTATAAACTATAGCGAAATTTTGCTTCGTTTTCGAGCTACAATTGAAAGGGGTGCATTTTCACCTCTATCTCCAATTTCCACCCTCTAATTTAATAGCACTCCGCACTTTTCATTTAAAATGACCTTTTGAACGATTTATGCTATAAAATTGCTTGAATGTTCCTTTTAACCCTGTTTTTTTGGATATAATCAATTACGATAAGGGGTGTCCCGAAATTCATGCAATAAAATTTGGTCATAGAGTTAGGTTCTTAAGACAAATTTAGGGGACCCACATTTTTTCTTTTTGCCAACTGGACCCCTCTTTCGGAGTTACAGCCCCCTGAAATCTGCCCCTAAGAAGTCTTTTTTATATCTCAAAACCATATTGTACGAGAATCACTAAATTTGGTACACAGGGGTTTTATGGCATGTGGAATCTCACAGTGCTACGCTTTTTGGTGAGAAACCCCCCTAAGACACTTTTTCGTGGGCCCCCTTGTCTTTGGAACCAGAAAAATTTGGTCGCAATTTTGATTTTTTTTTTAATTACTAGTTAGTTAGAAAGCCATTGAATATAGAAACTTTTTTGTCTCTTCATATTTTTTTCGTAAAACGCAATGTTTTTGAGGAAAATGGCGAATCACGATATGCATTCGATCACATTTTGACATTTTTCTCGAAAACATTGCGTTTACGAAAAAAGTATAAAGAGACAAAAAGTTTCTAATTTTAATGGCTTCCTAGTGGACAGAAAATTTTTAAGAAATTTAAATATGCGACCAAATTTTTTTGGCTCCAAAGACAAGGGGGCCAACGAAAAATTGTTCTCCGCCAAAAAAAGTAGCACCATCAGATTCCACATGTCATAAAACCCCTGTGTACCAAATTCAGTGATTCTCGTACAACAGGGTTCTAAGATATAAAAAAAGATTATTCTTAGGGGCGGACTTCAGGGGGCTGCAACTCCGCCATTTGGCAAAAATACGGTTCCCCTAAATTTGTCTTTAAAATCTGTGACCAAATTTTGTTGCATGAATTTCGGGACACCCTGTATAGTGTTATCGTAATCAAGCGCCCCAGGCAGTGTATGTTTTGTAAAGTTGCTTAATATGAGACAGGACGTTGATATTTACAAACATTTTGTTTGGCGTCTTTAAATTGTGACTTTAAAGTGACACGAAAAGAATCAAAATATACAGTTTTCTTATAATTTAAACACACTTACCTTGGTTTGGGGGTGAATTAGGCTGACGCCGTGTTTATTGATGGCAATTAACAACATATCCGGATAATTCGGGTCGGTGGTCTGCTTGACTTCGAAGAAAGCCGATCCGAACGTTGGCCAGCGGTACACTATTTTCAAAAAGGTGATCTTAGCGTCTTCTGGGCTCATTCCGGCGTCCTGGTTGTAGGCCGCGACTATGGCCCTCTTCCAGTCGTTCGCGCTTTGGATTTTCACCAGGTCCGCGGGTATCAATTCCCGCAGCATTTGTCTGAAAATGGAACATTCGTACAGCAAATTTTCACTGTGCTTTCATCATTGGATAGTTTCTTTCATAGACGCACACCCAACGATATTACTGTCAAACATATCAATAAACTGAAAGTGGCATCTTAATTTATAGGCAATATTTGTAATATATGTATCGAGTTTAAAACTTAAGTAGACAGAAAAATTTCTTTCGATTTCGTTTACGAAAGAAAAAAAGAGGTTGCCGCATGTTCGATTTAAGTCGGGCTTTTTTTGAAAGGTACCGCACATGACATTTTGAATTAATTTTTATTTATCAAGGTCTATACTTGTTATTCATTTCGTTGTCAAAGGTCAAAGTTGATTAGCGATTGAGTTTAGGACCCATGTCATATAAGGTTTTTTTGTTTATTTTAATATATTCCGTCGTCTGTTAAAATTAAGGCAGTCAAACTTTTAACACTCTATATAGTGACTTCGTAAGTGTTGTGCGTGGTATCATCTAGGTTATGAATAATTTTGTGAAAAACAATATTTTACGATACTGAGATTTACTCAAAACATTAAAAAATATGTATACACAATGTTCTTATTTGTTGGTTCTTTATACAGGGTGCATCTCGAAGAGGGCCCAGTAGGATTATCTCAAACAGTAGTCAAAATTGAAATCTGAAAATTTATATACAGGGATTTATACCGGAAGTCATCATCAACTCTGTTATTTCAAATGCAACACTCTGTATATTTTTGCATTTTTTAATTCTACGGTAAAATCTAGACTAATTTCATATAAGGTACTATAGGCCAAAATGTGACAGTTTTCAAGTTATCAATTTTCGAAAAATATTGAGGGATGCAAGTGATTTTTGAAAACAGAATAACTTCAACATTTAGCTTTATTTATGGTTAATTTAAAAGCAATGGAATTCAATCAGTTTATGTAAAATTTACAAAAATTCATGTGTTTAAGAACGTGTGACCAATATTATGACGCTAAAGTTGAATTTACTCAAATATTTCAAATGGTACACCCTGTATATTATTACATTAATAGATGCACAATTAAATTTACTTTAAAATGATAGAGGAGAAGGTCCGAATATGGGCTATGGGCCCGATATAGCTATTCCTACTAGAACATCTAGCGGCATCACTGAATAATACTTTAAAAGACAGCTACCTAGTAGCGAACTGTTTTATCGACATTGTGCAATTGATTTCTTATATTGTTAGAAACAAGTGGTGGTGAATGTGTTACTGGAATTCTGAATATTATCTGAAGGTTATGTGTTATTATGTTTTATACGATTTTTAGTGACTAGGTATGTTTGTATATTCACCTAGATATTTTGTATAAAGATCAAAGTTTGTTTTGTTCAGAAAATATTTTGATTCACGATTCACTTAAACTCTACAAATAATAGGTGTCTATTGTTGAATGACATGCAGTGCTGGTAATATGAGCCTTTTGTGGGTTCGAATATGGGCCAGGGCCTATATTCTCCCCTGATTTTGAATTCAGTTCTTTTTCCAGGTTGACCATGCCACGTAACAAACCAAAGTTTTCACCAAAGACTTTAAGGAAACAATGGAACTCCGAAAACATGATAAAGGCTATGGATAGCGTAAATAACAAAAAAATTACATTTGTGACTTATGCAAATAATTTCTTTCCAATTTCTGTTGTTGCCTTACTACTTATTACTCTTTTGTATAATCATATATGATGTTTTTTACTAGAAAATAAAATTTCCTTTGTTAAACGTAAACTTATGCATCATTTTTGATAGGGGCCCATATTTCATACACTCTACACTCATAAAGAATTACAAGATATTGTTAAATTTTCATTGATATCTCAGTATTTTTTATCTTTCCGGAACTTTGCCGCGCTCATTATTGTAGACGAGTTCTTGGTCTAAGTGTGTCCCAATTTTTAGGTGTATTTGTCAAAAAATTAGTTAATAATCTATGAAAAACAAAATAGGGGCCCATATTCGGACCTTCTCCTCTACTATAGTTCCCTATACCCAAAGTTCCTGTGTAAAATGGAAAAAAATTGAATAATAAACGGTGTCTGGTTTAATGAACTGTAATTTTTATTATTGCTATACCTTCATCAAAAACAATAATTCAGTATACATATTAAATTAAAAAGGGCGATGCTTTAAATAAACCCACTATACTCGTAGATTTTTCTGTGTTGAAATCAATAAATTCCAATTTACACAAGAACTGTTAACTTTGGGTATAGGTATCATTTTAAAGTAAATTTAATTGTGCATAATATACAGGGTGTACCATTTGAAATTTTTTAGTAAATTCAACTTCAATGTCACAACATTGGCAATACGTTTTTAAACACTCTGTATGAAGTTTTGCAAATTTGACATAAACTGGTTGAATTCCATTGCTTTTAAATTATCCATGCCAAATTTTATTAATAAATAAAGCAAGATGTCGGAGTTATTCTATTTTCAAAAATCACTTGCATCCCTCAATTTTTTTCGAAAATTAATAATAACTTGAAAACTGTCCCATTTTGGCACATAGTACCTTATATGAAAATAGTCTAGAATTTGCCATAGAATTTAAAAAATGCATAAATGTACATAGTGTTCCATTTGCAATAACAGAGCTGATTATCACTTCCGATATAACCGGAAGTGCGAGAGAGTTAACACCATTTTTATTGAATATATCTCTTTGATAAACCCCGGTATGCAAATTTTCAGATTTCAGTTCTGGCTACTTTTTGAGATAATCTTACCCTCTTCGTGATACACCCTGTATAGTCATATTTTCAATGTAAGTCGTAGTCAACAATACCTCGACTGTATATAGACTTCTAATATTTTTTGTTTTTTATGTCTTTGACTACACTTACGGAATAGCTTGCAATTCCTGCTTGCTCTCCCCAAACCTGACCCTGTAGACCAAGGCGGCTAATTTGGAGGCCTCCTCTTTGCTACATTTATGGTACCCCCTAATGAGCTTGGGCAGTTCTTGGTGGAAGTGGAAAATGAGGTCGGCGTTCTTGTCTTTCCCCGGCACGGTGTTCGTCCACAGCTTCTTCATGAAGAACACCTGGTAGGAAAACTGAGGGGTTATTCCGTCCCTCGTGGGCCGCGCCTTCCTGATCCAGTCCGTCAGGTGTCGCACGAAATCGAAGAAAAAGTCGCCCTCTGGCACCGAAATAACCTACAAGCGAAAAAGGACCGATCTTACAAGTTGCTTTATTGTTATCTACTGTTTCTGTGGTTCGTTAAAAAGTATGTTTTTTTTTTATTTCATTAATATACGATAATAATAACTTTTAAACATTTTTTTATGCATTTACAAATTTAAATGGCTTTTTGTTGAAAACAGTTGGCTTTAGAGATATTAGCAGTAGATATTATGACAGTTTAAATTCGTCCTAATGGTCGCTTGTGGCGTCCTCTAGAAGATATAACGAAAACGTCAATAAATTCGAATTTATCATCCTAAAAAAACCCTGCATACGAAATTTCACAAAGTTAACTCGAAGTAGTCGAAAGATATTAAAGAAAATGTTATATATTTTTTTAATATTGACACCATGTAGCTCCGTTATTATCAATTTTTGGACTAAGGCAAGTTTAGTTAAAATTTAATTATATTTTGAGCCGTGTACTATATCTGGTGAAGCGTTGTACAGACCCTTTAGAGACACCCTGTATATTGCTGGTATGATAGTTAGTTTGACATTTAATCTGTACCGTTTCTATTAATGCTATGACTTAGGAATTATTTCTTATTTGTAACTCAAAATAGGGTGATTATTATTAGTCCAACCAAATTACACTTGGAGAAAAAAAAATTGTTACCTGGACTTTTATAAGTGAAAATGGTAAAAGGGCTTATCTGTATATATCTTATCTAAAGGGTTTAGCTAACCTAAAAAAAATAAATGCGTGTGCAGGGGCGGCGGAGGGTTGATTTGGGGGGTTGAAAAGTTATGAAAAATTGTATCATTGGGATTTCTGGCGAAAGTCGACGTCAAACAAAAAAGTATCCAATACACAAGTTGTAGATCATGCAAAAATCTATAACTTTTGTAGAGGTCACTTTTTCACATAACCTCTAAATTTCCGAGAAAAATGCGAAAAACAGTTTTTTTCTGATTTTTCGTTTCTTATTTCTCATTTCCGCAAAAATAATTTAATTTTGACGAAACTTGGTGAAAGTATACCTCTGTCTTAAATAACCTCAAATTTTTTAGATAAAAAAATCAAGAAGTTTCTGAGATATTCATTTTTTTCGGCCTGAAATACTTTTTTTTTCAAAGAAAAATTCTACTTAAAAAAATCATCGTACAGAGTTCTGCCGGTAATCATTATTTTTGTTTTGACATATACTTTTTGGTGAAATAAAAAAATCTGTAATAACAGTTCAAAACATACTCAAAAATGCAAAAAAAATAAAAAATGCAACAATGAATTTTTCAGTTATTGTTGATAATTTGTTTAAATTAAAAAACATTCAAAAACTGATTACATCATTCAATTCTACGGAAAAAAATAAAAAACACTGTCTCATTATTTGACCCAAAACTTTATTTTTGTACAGTAACTATTGCTATAAACATCTAAGTCGAATTACAAATGCACAAATGACAAATTATCTCTGGATGATTTGAGATTTCAGCAATACAAAGTATCAAAAATAGCAGTGACGTATTCAAAAAAAATTACCGGATGATGGCCCCTCGAAGACGAAACGTCGGATTGCAAAAATGTTGACGCCATTGTATAGAGCGAGAAAAGTGGCATTGTAAATATGTAATTTATTTTAAAATTCGTTTTCAAATAAAGCCAGAAAAAATTAAACAATTTTGCAAAATTTCGTTTTTTTTAATCTGAGCCACCCCGTATCTCTTACCGTTTCCTAGATCCTAATGCTATCCCATCCTTATCTTGGACACACTGTATATCTATGAATTCATCAAACTTTAAAAAAAATAAGTACACTAATCGATCCTTCGGAAAAATATTATTAATTTTATTTATTCACTATTCGAATTATGTTTTTAGCAATACTGTACAAAAATAGTTTTGGGTCAAACAATGAGACAGTTTTTTTTGTATTTTTTCCGTACAATTGAATGGCGTAATCAGTTTTTGATTTTTTTTAATTTAAACAAATTATCAACAACTATTGAAAAATTCTTTGTTGCAAGTCATTTTTTACTTTTTTGCATTTTGAGCATGTTTTTGAACTGTGATTACAAATTTTTTTATTTCACTAAAAAATATATGTCAAAACGAAAAAAATTATTATCGGCACAACTCTGTACGATGATTTTTTTAAGTAGAATTTTTCATTGAAAAAAAGTGTTTCAGGCCGAAAAACATAAATATCTTAGAAACTTCTTGATTTTTGTATCTAAAAAAATTTGAGGTTATTTAAGACAGAGAAAGGTATACTTTCACCAAGTTTCGCCAAAATTAAATTATTTTTGCGAAAATGAGAAATAAAAAACGAAAAATCAGAAAAAAACCTGTTTTTTGCATTTTTCTCGGAAATTCAGGTTATGTTAAAAATGACCTCTACAAAAGTTGTAGATTTTTGCATGATCTACAACTTTTGTATTAGATACTTTTTTGTTTGATGTCAACTTTCGCCAGAAATCCCAATGATACAATTTTTCATAACTTCCAAATCCCCCAAATCAACCCTCCGCCGCCCCTGCTCACGCATTTATTTTTTTTTTCGTTTATTATAAGCCCCATTTCCACTTATGAAAGTCCAGGTAACAATTTTCTTTTTTTTTCCCTCTAAATTAGTTATTTTGATCGGTCTATATTATAAAACAGCAGATTAATACGACATAAACTTCATTATAATTGAAGCTTGCTTTGCTACTAATAAACGAACTTTTACGACCAAAATGACTTTCCTAAGCAGTGTACTCTAAATACCTTATCTGCAATCTTCACGAACAAACTGAAACCCTCGCTGGACCTCAGGTTCAACCTCTGGCTTATATTCTGACAGAAATCCTTCGCCCTCGTACTCGAGTCCACCTCGAACGCCTCGTCGGTATCGTCGGGGAAGTACACCTTGTGGAAAATCTGCGTGGTCTTATGCTGTATCGCCTCCACTTCTACTTGGTGTGGCGGATACTTCCTCTGGCCGTTTCTCAACGTCTTCTGCAGCCTCTGCAGCGAGTCCTGAGATATGGGGTGCCTCCGGCTCCTGAGAAACAAAGTTAATTCTTTGAGCAAGCTCTGAGAGCAAGTGAAGAGACCCGTCGCCAGCCACATCAGCTCCCATCCTCTCTCCTCGGAGAGCCTGTTCCTGTTATCCGTCAGCTGCTTCATGATCTGGCAGTAGATCTCGTCCCTGAGGATCTCGTGCTTCAAGGGACCGTCGAAGATGTGGTCCGTGTACTCGTTCCCCAACCGTGGCCTCTTGGACGGTAAATCGCCCATGTATTTCAAGATGGCACTGAAGGCGAAGCAGGCCTCGTCGGCGAGTTCCTCTTTCATGAGCAGCTTCTTCAGTAAGGGTTGCTTGATGGGGTCTCGGGAATGCCTCCAGAGGTCGTCCACCCCCCGGCGGTTGGAGGTGAGGGTGAGGGCTTTGGACATGGTTCTCTTCAGGGGTGGCCTGAAGTGGTCTATGGCGTACTCTGCCAGGGTATGGGGTCGGTCCCTGGATTCCGTTCCGTTTACTGAGTATTGCTGGCTTAGGCGTCGGCCATGTTCTGCACCTGGAGGCAAAATGGAGGATTTTTTAAATTTAATAAAATAAAGACAGGAAACAGGATAAATTAAATAAAGAATTTGAACCAGGTAGACAGGTTCATATCATTGTGTTAATAAGAATTGATGTAAATGTTAAAATTTGGGCTTTTACATGTGTGTAGCAGCTAGGAATTTCCCTAGTTTACTGAACAAGGGGTATGGATGTGAAATCATGGTTTCAGAATTCCCATAAAATATAAGTTATGGGAATTAAGAATTAAGAACTTCTCTTTTTCTATTTTGTGTGTGCGTTTTTTTTAGTTTTTTGCTTATAAAACCAAAACTACTAGAGAAATCTTAATTCCGTAATTGGAAAAGTTGTAGGAAACTAAATTTCTAAGAAAATGAGAGGTCGAGCGACCCGATCGGTTGATTAGAACCGGAGAAAATCAGGAAAAACCGGAAAATTCGGCATTTAAAAAAATCATTTATGAAGATAAGTGCTGAAATTTGGCACAGAAGTTGATAATTTTATCAACTTTAAGTGTGCGAAAGGCAGGCGCTGTCGGACCATTAGTTTTTGCGCAATTGCCCTTTCACATTTTTATGCATTTTTTTGCCGGCAGTCTGCTTGCATTAAAAGTGGTCCGATTTTAATTCTAATACCGGTTTCAAAACTAGAAGTAAAGTACTATAAAACGTATATTTCAAGTTTTCGTTAAAATGTAGCAAAATGGATGAAACATGCACTTGAACAGCCGTTTAAATTTTTCTATTAATTAAAACTATACAGAATGGTCAGTAATATTAATGTAATTTTTGAAACTTGCAGCATGAGGCAAGAATTGGGGGGGGGGGGGCGTGGCTGATCCTCCTCTGCCCCCAGCGGCTGCGACCCTGGGGTTTTAGATGTCGGAATTTATAATTTTATTTAACTTCTTTTTAACTTAATTTTCTTGAGACAAAAATGTAACAAAAATAATAATATTGAAAATGGAACGAATAAATATTAAGTGTACAAAGTAATTCCTAAGTTAATACTCACGTTTTCCAACCCATTAAGGCAAATGATAACAAATAAAAGCAGTAGCTTTTTAAGGTAAACTTTTAGCAATACACCAGTAAATCTATAGATATTAGTATAAGGATTTAGATGATTGATCTAGGTATACTCCACTAGACGACTTGAAGTCAAATATCAATAACCTGGAGTCACACTGAAAGAAATGGGCTTATTAAACTGTTTATCTAGAATAATGCGTATAGCGCATATTAAAACTTTTATAACCAATATACAACTTTTATTAAAAAAAAGCAATCATCTCCATACTCATTATTCAAACAGTTTAACTGGAAGGTGCTTAATACACCTTATGCATATATGAAATAAAGGTTATAATGAATTACTTATACATTATTAGGTGTTATAGACTTTATATTCCAATTGTATAGTAGGAAAGATTTGTTGTATAAAGACCAGTATCCGAATTTGTATATAACAATTGTATTAACAGAATTATTCGTTCTTATACTGAATATGTTTCCGTTTTTAACGTGTAAAACGCATCTTATAATGGTTAAGTGATCGTCACCTCTCGGTGCATAATCGTTGTTAAGTTATATTCATAGTCTTGTAATAATAATCATATGTCAGACCCGAGAGCGAAGTGCGCCGACTCAATAAGAAACCTGGCTATTCCAGCCGCTGATTTAGGGTTCGCCGCACGAGTTGATCCCTTCTAAAATTTCATGCTATGCATGAAGCAGAACGGTGATCAACTATCTTATACAGTCCACTTTTATTGTCCATAGGTGTTCAATCATTGTCAAAATAAACACACAAAACCACAACGTCTTTATTATCTTTACTCAAGAAGAGAAAATACAACAATCGTAAAATTTCCGACAGTCCGCTGTGCATCGACTTACACACGTCTAGTTTGATGAAAATGGACAGTATATGCACATGTTTTGTGGGATACATGATCGCACAACTATATCGCGTTGTGTGAAATGGAAAATTATTATGTAAGTATCTAACTGTTTTATGGCTTGTAATTGTTTTGTTTTTTCAAATGTAAATCTTGTCTAAATCTTAAAAATTATTATTTTGTAGGTCCTATTAGAAATCGCTGATGTTAAGTTTTACATAAGATGGAGGAACAGAAAGGTTAACGGTGACAAAGAAAAGCATGAGTATAAAGTCAATCAACCAGAGGAAATAAAATTATATGGAAAGAAGCTCAACCTTTCTGGGGATGCTTCATTCTTAAGGTGGAAGAGTTATAGTGCAAATTCTCATGTAATACAAGAAAATACGGGTGCGTCGTTGCTAAGAAAATAAACTGGACAGTTTTGGGAGCGATTTGTCATCATTTTTAATGCTTAAAAGTATGTTTTATGTATGTTTACATTAGAACCTTAGCTTGTAATTACAGTTATCCAATAAAATTTCTGAATACTTAATGACATATGTTTTTAACTCATACAGAGTATACAACAGTTTAATACATTTATTATTATAAAACTTATAACCAGTACTAGATGTTCTAATAACAATATGGAACACTTTAATAACAGTTATTGCTATTATTTCGTAATGGGTATAAACAAAGTTGTATACTAGTTATACAATAATTTAATAAAGAATAAGGTTTATAGTCACTATACAACTGTGCTAGCAGTACGCGTTTTATATCCAATATTCACCTGTTTAACTGTCACATATATATATATACAATGGTCTTATAATAGTATATAGAATTCTAATAAAGAATAAAACGCATTTCTTTCAGTGCAAATATTCTGAGGTGAATGGCCTGATATTAAACGTCATTGACTTGAAGTCGTGTCAATGATAGGAGGTTAATGGTTTTCTAAAGGATTTTGAGATACGTAGGTACCTACTTCAATATTACTGAATGCTTCCAAGTTCCAATAAAGTTATCTGTTTTGCTATGTGTATTACCTACCTATATTTCCAAGTGAATTAGGTAGAATGGATGTGAAAAATTTTTGAGCATTCTGAATCTACTTTGACGAATTCTAAAATCGTTTTGACCAATTTTATTGCTTCCAGCAGCCGTTTTGAGATATTCTGAAATATGATACACTATTTCGATGTTTTTTTAAGTGATTCGATCAATTTCGATGAATTTTGAGGTTGTTTTGAACCATAATGACCGCATTATAAAATTATTATTATAAACCAATCTAACTTAATGTATCTAAACATACTGAGTTTCACCTTAAAAACTTAAAATAGGAAGACTTCGGAATCCTATAATACCTCAAACATTTCTAAGTAAACAGGTAAGAAAGTACCTACTTCGAAATGTAACGAATTATTTTTTACTTTAATGAGTTACTATTAGATACAAACCACTAGAAATTATCCTATGTAGTGTCATAATATGTCCATTAACATAAATATTAAAAATATCACTTAGGTACATCATTTCATAAACTTATGAAAAATATATGTTGGATTTCACTTTCATGTTAAGATGTAAGAGATTTCTATGATAGATCAGAGTAGTAGATTTTGCATGAAGAGACATTTGAATGACGATAAAGTGGCAATGAAAATATATAAAAAATACGAAAGAATCGACATATCTTTATTTTGTAGAATCGTTTTATTTTGTAGAATATGTTAAAATAAAATATTTTATAACCTAATAAGAAAGATTAACCCAACGTTAAAATAGTCTGAGTAGGCAATATTCATTACTTTCCGACTTTTTCTCCAATTATCCAATTTATTGGAGCAACCTAATGTGAAACATCACATTGCGTTGAGTTGAAATTTAAATAAAAACAGTTTACAATTACATTTCACTCAATATTCTATATCTTAAAAGGTCGATCGACAGAGTCGAACACTTGGATAAGTTTTTTCTTTTGCAACGGTTTTGTTATTCTCTGCATGTAAAATACCATTAAGTTTATAACTTAAGTTATATAGGTACTACAACAAGATATACCTCAGGTATGAAGATTTGAAAGTGAACCTTAGGGTATATATTAATAAACAGGTGTTGCAAGATGTGAGATTTAAATTGCATTTTATGGCGAATGCGCGGTAATGGCAATTTTATCTGAAATTTCTGTACGTCTCGCGACAGGTTGCTTGAAAGTTTCAGCATACTTTCATTTACAAATACCTAATAGTGAGGAAGTCGAAAGATTAATATTTCTGGATAAATAGGGATGATAAAGGTTTTGAGGTACCTAACTGTAAGATGCAAATGGATTTGTGATATGAATTACATTTTATTAGATCATTTGCGAGATGCAAAATATTTACTGATTTAAATTTTCAATAAAGATTATTTTTGCGTTAATTAAAGATTTTATTAAAGTTGGAAAAGTAGGATTGTCCATGACCTAAATTCGACAGTTTTGCTTGTTCACATATCCACTAAGATGGAAAATGCGCCTCGTCGCTAAAGATGATTTTCTTAGCAAAATCAGCGTCGACTTGTTGATTCTCCAACATCCAATCAACGAATCCGACGCATTAAATGGTCGTTTGGTTTCAGTTCCTGGGTTAGCTGACTCTTGAATGGATGCAGATGCAGATATTTTGTTAAAATCCGCTTTTTGAAATATTTAATTGCAGTCACTGACGGCGCACTGAGGCTACGGAATTTTCGCTACACTATCACTCACCGTAGCAATATTTTCGACTGAGCGGTAAGTACGTGACCGGCCTGTATTTTTTTCTCACCTGTCAAAGTAAAGTAGGCCAAACACTATATTGACGCATTTCCCTTCAAAAGGGCTATCGATTTATGCTTGAAAAATTAGGTAGTACTATTTAAAAAATGTCGATGACGTCATAGGTTTATGAAACATAGCGCAAAAAATGTTTAAGCGACGCACAGTGGTCGGAATTCCGAAAAAGCTGGACAAAAGTCGAAATTTCAAAGTCGTTGGTTTGCGTTAATACTTCAGAATATTCTAAAGAAGGAGTCACTGCGTAGTTCTTTAAAGTGACAGAGAGCTGGCCCATGTGTATAGA